TAATTGCCAGAAATGCATGTGCTCCTGTCCACAAGGTCACTCTATGAATTGAAGACTTTTATTTCTTTAAAAGAGGGACTGTATTTTCTGTATTGGAAGTTGTCTGTTGGAACTTTGTACGTGATGTGTAGGTCTGTGTGACATGGTGAGCGTTTCAAATGGGGTGGTGGTGAAATGTTCCCCTTGTTGGGGTTGGTACAACAGACCCACTGTGAGGGCAGAGTGGGAATCATTCCAAAAACCATTGCTGTGGGCAGAGCTCTGTGATCTCCCCTGGAGTCAGCAGGGATCCACAAGGGTCCAGCTGGGTGTTGGTGCATCCTTGCTGGCTGTGTTCTGACAGGCTGCTTTCTACAGTGTTCTGTAGTTTTACAGCTTTCACTGGACAAGCTGGCTAAGTTAATTCTTCCAGGAGTTCGTTATTAATGTAGTTTTTCTCTTTTGTAATCATATTTTCTCAGTTTTAAGTCCTCTTTTATTCTGCTTGTGTTGAGTATGCCTTGTGTGGATCTCGATCTGAAGATCTCAGAATGTACCAACATATTTAATGCTTGGGAATTTCTTTCCCTTTGTGTGTGTGTTTATAAATATGTATAATACATACTTCTCTGCTACTGCAGTATGCAAACTACACAGGTGTATTTTTAAAGAAGGCACTATTTGTGTGATTTTTAACCCCTGAACTGCTACTGTGATACTGTAACTTTCAGATAGTGATTTCAAACTCTTCCCCACGTGTTTTGGGCACAGCAGTTAATAGAATTACTTTCATAATTATCAAAGGAGAACCGAAGGAGACTATCAAGAAACAGTTTAGTTTACATTTCAATTAAGGCTGTACACTTGTGGCATTACATTTACCCCTATATGTTACAATAATAATACTGAAAGAAAATAATGCTCTCAGTTGTGCTTTAGTTGTGCAAAGCTTTCAAGCCAAATACCTGGTGCATGACCTCTATGAGAGTCACAACTTGGTTACCACTGTAAGGAAAGTGTGTATTCACCTGAGAACTCTTCCAATATGTTTAGCAGCAGGAGTAATGCTGGATCTTGGGATAATGGTCCCTTGTTTCCATCTAAAAGGAAACAAAGGTATTGTCCACATTGTTGTGGAGTAGCTCATCAAATCCATCCAACAGATGGATCCAAATCAATTAATAAAAAAAGCTGTTGGATGATAATAACTACAAGAGTTTTTGAATCACATTCTTCACAGGAAAGACTAAAATCAGACTTCAAAAAAATTAATTTGCCAGCTCTTCCTAATTTATTTCTTTAGGCTTTGTTTTTAGAGTGTAAAAATGAAGTGTGCACCAGGAAACACAGAAAGCAGTAAGATTCCAGGGACCTTTAGAGACTTTTCCTTGTCTCTGGATCCTGGCATATTAAAGGCTAATGGAGATTTGAGGCAGAATGTATTTTATTACTTCTCCAGAGCCTCAGACTAGTTCTTCCATCACAGGCCATAAAACCAAACCCCTCACTCAGGTAGTGAAGTTGCTGCTCGAGCTTCATGTCTTACTTAAAATGAGGGACTGCAGAGCCCCCGTTGGTTCGGGGCAGGGAGAGGGACCTGCCTGTGCCTCCTGCAGCTCAGGCATTAACGGTGCTGCTGCCTCAGCTCAGCAAGCACCCATCTCCTTATCTCTGGCAAGTCTCTTCTGCCCTTTCCCTTCCCGCTTCTTCTTTCTCCAAGTTTAGCATGTAATTAAAAGAGTGCAGTGGCTGAGGAGTGAGAAGGGAATTTTTCCAAATGCTGTCCCCTGTAGGATGTGATGCATCGCCCACGCGTCCCAGGGCCGGCATTGGAGAGCTCGTCCCATTTGTCTTACTTGAGGTTTAAGCGAAATCATCTGCTGAGCGTTTCAGTCTGTCCCTGTGCGTTGCAATTCAGCCAGCTCCTCTGAAGAGAAAAATGGGAAAGTAAGACATGGTTAATGTACCAGTCTTTTATGTGGAGAGAACAAATTTGACATAGGACATTAGAGATAGAGGCTACAGTCTATCTTCTGGCTGTACAATGCTAATTAGCGTTTTGAACCCATCCTTTTGTTCAGCCTGGTGGGTTGTATCAGCCTTGGAAGGATTCTGGGCTGGAACAGCAGTGCAGTGTGTTGGGACTGCCTGGCTTTTGGCACCGGAGCGGGGTTGGCAGCAGAGCAGGAGAAGCTCTGGGCTGGTTGTGCACCTGCTTCCCGACAGCACTGGGGCACAGGGAGGGACAGGGAGCGGGCTCTGGGACACGGGAACACTGTGGGGTTTGTGCCCTGTGGGGCACAGGGAGGGACAGGGAGCGGGCTCTGGGACACGGGAACACTGCGGGGTTTGTGCCCTGTGGGGCACAGGGAGGGACAGGGAGCGGGCTCTGGGACACGGGAACACTGCAGGGTTTGTGCCCTGTGGGGCACAGGGAGGGACAGGGAGCGGGCTCTGGCACACGGGAACACTGTGGGGTTTGTGCCCTGTGGGGCACAGGGAGGGACAGGGAGCGGGCTCTGGCACACGGGAACACTGCGGGGTTTGTGCCACAGGGCCTGGCAGCGGAAGGAGCGCTGTGGTGAAGCTGCTCCTTGGAACCAGCGTGTTCCAGGAAATGCTCTCAGCTCTTCCTCTCTTCCCACTTTTCTCTTTAGTCTTCCTGTTCCTGCCACGCCATATGGAAGTTAGGGAATTACTTTGCTCTCTACTGAGAGAAAAAACGAGAAATGAGTATTTTTATGTAGCGAAAATCTTTGTATTAACACGTGTTTTGAGAACCTGCACAGCACAGAGCAAATCTGCTGCAGTTCCTCAGCAACCCAGGGGCCAAGCCCTACACCTGCACCCAGGCATGATAAGCAACTGATAAATATCCTATTATTCAACTTCAGCATTTTTTATTTTTTTTTTTTACATACTGCATTCTGGCATCCAGACATGAGTCTGCTGCCTTTATTGAGCTTGACATACTGCAGTTTCTATCAAAATTAAGTCTTTGGGATCCCTGTTAACATACCTCATTTCAACAAAAGGCTTTATAAAACAGCTGACTTTAAAAAGATGACGTTTGCACGATGAGAAATGATTTTTACTTAAAACAGCCATAGAGGGTGAAGTTAGTAGTGACTAATTTTCTGGTTATGCCAAAAAAATATTTTTGCAAATCACTGAAAACCAAAAAATTAAACTTTGAATCTTTATTTGAATTACTCAGACTGATTTCTCTGTTGAAAGCCTGATACTGTTGCAAACCAAAAAAATATCTTGAAAATAAACCACAAATTCATTGTATTTGCAAAACCACATGTCCTGTCTTCCTCATGCCTCTCTGTGTCTTCTTTGCAAATGCTAGAGTTTAGTGATCTAGCAATAGCTAACTTGGTTAACAAGTATACAAAAGGCTAAATTAACTTTTAAATCTACTATGTTTTAATTTTGTTTTTCTATGTTGTTATTAAGAAACAACATAGAAAATGCCATGTATATTCTGTGGGTTAGGTCTGGATAGAGGTGACAAGTCTGAAACTGGTTTAGGTAGGAGGCTGAGTGGGATCCTCTGTTTTAATCTTTGTCCTAAAATTAGTCAGGGTTTATTTATGAGTAGCCTGAAAAAAAAAAAGTAAATAGGGAGAACAGGAAATTTGAAAGCAAAGATATTCCCTGGGTATATTGGGGAAAAAAGATGGAGCAAATACGTTGTATTTATTATGTACAACTGTAAACTGGGAATAAAAGAGTTTGGGCAGGGCTTGCCTGACTCCACTGAGAGAAGTGAAGATCCTCAGAAGCTTGTGGAAGGCATGAGCACACCCTTATCATGAGTTCTGGATGCCAGTCTGGATTTAAGAGGACAATGCCTGGACACCACGTGTGGAGGGATCTATTTGAGGAGTGGAAGGGTTTGTTTCCATCGGGTTTGTCACTGGTATGAAGCTCCAGGAACACCGTGTTGTGTTTGGAGAGCAACAGTCCGAGGGTGCTAATAACAATTCACAGGAGTGCTTGGAGGTTTGGGCAGCTCCCTTTGGAAGAAGACTTGAGAGCTGAACTTATTTATATTTTTATTTAAAAATAGCAATGTAGAACCAGTAGCACTTGTTAAGTACGGGGCAAAAGCAACGAGCTAACACTGCAGTGAGAGCTGTTGGGATTGCTGTGGCAATTCCCCTTTGACAACAGCCAGGATCCCGTACCCTGTTTGTGTAACCACAACCTGCACTATGACTAATTAAGCCAAGGCTGAGCCCATAACCTCGAAACCTGCAGTCCAGACTTTCTTTCTGTCTGAATTGCAAGGTTAATACTCCAGAGAGCACGGGGGCTCTTCTGTGGACCCTCCGTGGGAGACCTGGCATCACCTTCCTGGGCAGTGTTGGTGGAGCAGTGGTGAGGAATCCTGATTTGGATTCCTGAGCCATTTTCTTCATATTGGTGTTGTCTCCTAAGCTATATAGGGACTGAGCCCAGGACCTCAGCAGGGGGCAGTGGGAAAAGTTTTGGTGCTGCTTATTCTCTTAGACTCCTGCTTGTCAGAGACAATTTAGTTCCAAATGGCACAGTGTTGCCTAGGGCAGGAATAAACCTCCCTCAAGACCCTCCAAGAGGGCAAGTAATTGCAGCCTTTCCTATTTCACTGGGGCTGGCAGTGACAAAAGATAATTGCCCTGGGCTTGGTGTGGTTCCTGGTGTGGACTCGTAGCAGCCCTGTTTGCTAATAAAGTATTCTGTCATAAAAACCTCGTCTGAAAGGTGAGGAATTCAGAGTGTGAGTCTGCTTTTACTTTCAGATCCCTGTGGATTGGTATTGAGTTATCTCAGCAGTACAAAAGTAGAAAATTCACACTGTTTTTTCTGGATAGAAAAAGCTTTGCATTCTCAGGATTCTGTCAAGCACAAGTAGCAAAATTTATGTTTGGCCATCAGCTCCTTTAGGAAAACATTTCAATCTGTAAAAAAAAGAACTAAAGAAAGAAAATTGAATATGGGTGTTGATTTTCTTTGTCTTTCCTTTGCTACAGCTTCTTTGCTATGCTTCAGCCTTGTTTCCTGCTGTGTCCTGACCCTGGAGTGAGCCCTGGCTGGGCTGCAAGTTTGGCATTTCCAGGTATGATCTGCAGCTCCTTAATTAGTACTGGAGTGCTGGGACAGCAGGGCTGGCCAGGGGTGGGAGGAACAGCTGCTGGGGCTGTGCCAGGCTCCACTCCAGCTGCTGGGGCTGGCTGTGATAAGACACCTCTTCCTTTTACGTGGCTGCTCCTGCTGCCCACAGAGCAGATGGGTTCCTAGGGCAGGTTTTTCCTGCCTGAAGTCAACCTTCTTGGGAGTAGCAAATGATTCCTCCTTCCCCTTTCCTCCTCTTACAGCACTGGCTAAAAATTACAGTGGTTTCCATACTTGATAGGTTTAAGCCATCTGTCTGTGAAAATGGAGGGTATTTCTTCTCTCATGGAGTAAATCAAGCAAATTCCCAAGCTGCAAAAAACCAGTCATTGACTGTAAGGATAAAAACTAATACAGAATTTCTATTACATTTCCTTTCTTATTCTGTCCTTGATGATATTTAATGATGCCTTCACTGCATAGCTCTTCCATGTATGGATTCTTTTAAAGTATGGAATCAGATGTTGCGGTCTAAAATAAATTACTGGAGTTTTGTGTGATTGGTTGGTTTTTTCCCCTGCCCTACATCATGTCTCTTTTGGTAGCCTGAAAAGCTAATTACTGACTGTTGGGTGCCCTGGGTTTGGCTGTTTGTCCTTTTCTGTCACCATAGAGGGAAACAGCTGCATCACAGAGCCCCCCGTGGTGTGCCTGGAACACTGGTGTGTTGTGGCAGGTTTTCGTGACTGTCAGACACAACACTTAAATCGTAAGAACAAATGAAAAATCAATTCTTATTATGAATGCTGAAAGCATACAATTCCAGTACCTGCTAATGCCTTTTCTGAATTTCATCTATGATGGTGCTTTTTATTCCTATTAACATTCTTATCAGTGGTGGCTTCCCATTTTACAGGGATGGATTCTGGGCAAAGCATAAGGAGCACCAAAGAGTGTCTGTTGTTATTGTTGAACACTTGAGAATATCTGTTGTTGTTATTAACTTCAACACTAGTAAACATTAATATCTTTAACCTTGTGACTGAGAGCTCATCACTCATTTCACTGCTGTGGCTTATGGCTGCAGATTAAAATTTCTTACATCCATCGTGCCTGGTGAAGTAGCTTATTGGGATGAATAAATGACATTCTAATTAGGAGAGTAGCCTGAGAGAGAGCAAGCTGCTTGAACCAGCTTTGATGACCAAAAAATTACCTGTAGCTCGTTTCTCAAGATTATCAAAGAGGTCCTCAAATTAGAACGGCTGTCTTTGATCATGGATGTGAGGAACAAGGCAAAGTGAGTGCTCCAAGCAGATGGCAGTGGGAGGAGATGGTTGCTGTGGAATGGGAAAATCAAGGAGCTTTTACAAAGATTCAGGCCCCTTCCAGGCACTTGCTTCACCACGTAGTGAATGAGGTATCACTATCAGGCTTATTTTTATTTATATTTTCACCATAAAATAGCAATGTATGTGTTTTCAAAAGTTAAATTGTTTAGGTTAGTCGTAGAGGAAAAATGCCTTTTTTTTCCTCTTTCTTCTGTAACCTTATTCTGATGTTTCTATCCTGTAGCATGAAAACATTCAAACAGTACTGATCTTTAGTAAGACTTCCACCTGGCTTCCTTACCTTGGGAATGACCATGGCCTGACTTAGGTATTGCTTTGGATTTGTTTGGATCACTGAAGGATGTGTTGGGGTGACACAGTCCCTTGTCCCAGGTAGCTCAAAGCCTGAGGCCCCAGTTGCCCAATATCAAACATGGTTGTGTAGTCACAAAAAGCAGAAATGAGCACAAGGAATGTTCCAGGGCTGAGCTGTAAGTCTGGGACAAGAGTGACAAAGTGTGGGAGAAGGAGAGGAAAGCCTGACCTTACTGCTGGGAGGTAATGGGATGTCAGTGTTATTGCACCATATAGTTATTTTGCTGTATCAAACTAAAACCACTGAAAGTAAAGAGTAGGATGTGGGAAAGGGAAGAACAGAATCATGCCCAGACTCCAGCGTGGAGTGGCCCTGCCCTTAGTGCTGCCCAGACTTCCTAAATGGACAACACTGGAATAATCTAGTGAGTGAATTTTGTTCTGAGCTGAAATGGTTAATGCTTTGTTTAAGCACTGAAATTGGGAGCTGTGGGTTTACCCCACCTAATACAACTGTCCGTGGCTCATCCCAAGTATAAATGTCTAATTGTTCCTCTGGATCCATCAACCTCTTGATCTCAGTGCCAGCTTGTTTCAGGATGTGTTTTATGTGGAATAATTTTCTTCTTGCAGATGTAAATATGCTGCATTGAGTTTATTGTTCTTTTTCTGAGATAGATACTAAATGGGAACACCCAGTCTGTCTGCTTTATGTGACGGATCATTTAATATAATATCATTTTATTTGTCTCATTCTGAACTAAACTATCCTAATCTGAAGGGATTTCACTGAAAGGATGAAAAACTTCCCATATTAAAATAGTTTTGTGGCTGTTTTATGCAGCATTTCTTCCTGAGATGTCATAAATAGAACTGAACACAATACTCGGTAAATCATGTCATTGATTTTCTCACACAGAAAGTGTGCAGTCTGCTGGTTCCCTTGCATATTCTGTTGCACCATTTGCATGTCCTGCAGTTAGGAATGGGTGAGAACTCCTTAAAAGCTTAAAATAAAATTGTGCCATTTCTCTTTTGCCCGTGGTTTGGTAGGAAGAGCGAGTTTCCTTCACAGAAGTCGTGATCAAAAAGCTGTGCCGTTCACCCTGTGCTCAGTTCCTGGCTGTACCAGTGCCTGGTTCAGAGGGACTTCAGGATTCTGTGTAGCTCAGCCACCTGGTTCCCAAATTTCTGCCCAGTTCTTGGCTCTGCACAGTCCAGCCCTGCTGTGCTATTGCTCATAATTTATTGGTTATTTTTAATATCTCGGTTTTTTTAAAATGGCTCATAGTGGGGTTTATTTTTAAACTTAATTCTCTCCAGTCTATATTTAATAACTGCTAAGGCTCTCCCAGGGAGGGGGATTGAGACCTCTGGAGGGTTCCCAGCTGGCAGTGCTGTATCCCCTGTGTTGGAGCTGCCTCTCACACTGGCTGTGATCCCCCAGCTCTCTCCTGAGTTACCTGCCCTGACACCACAGTGAGTGTTTGGCTGCTTTTTAGTAACTTCTTTCCTGTCCTTTCAAATACTGTTTTGTATTTCACTATCCACGAGTTAATTGCTAAACTGCAATGGGTAATTTTTTTTTTGGCAGTTGTGGGTTTTGCTGCCATCAGCACAAAGGGTTTTGGAGCCAGAGGTTGCAGCAGTGCAAGGGAGAGGGGTTTAAATAAATAAAAAAGTGCAGAGTGGATGGACCCCCCCTGCAGTGAGGATCCACTGCTCTGCTCCCCAGGCTGTGCTCAGCACAAGGGTGACCACAGCTGGCACTGCCTCTCTGCCTGCAGAACCACTGTCACGTTTGTCAGGTATTGCTTTTTGGGTTGTTGTGAGCACGTTCTGGAGAGTTTGGGTAAAGTTTGTTCTTCTGAATGTTTTCATGTTGCTTAAAAAACAGGAAAAAAGATCAAAGGGCGGAACTGCAAGTGAGCCCAGGAAGGGTAAATCAAAGATAATTAGATTGCTCAAGGTATGGTCATACAGGTGCAATTTTGATATACTGTGAGGGGCTTAATTCTCATAATTTTCCTTAAATGGAGTTGAGAGAAACTTTAATGCACTGGAATTGAGGATATTTTTTAAAAATTATTATTATTATTACTGTGCTTTTTACTTCCAGCTGATGCACTTAACCTTAATTTGCTGCTATGTTGTAAAGCCCTTTTTAGGAAGCAAAGTAAACAATTTGTGGTCTGGTTTATCTCACTGGGGTTTTCTTTTTAAAAAGTAAAAAATAAAAACTAATTTTCCATGTAAATATAAAAGTATTCCTAAAGAACATACTGTGCAGCATTGTTTGAATGATCATTATAATATGAATATATATATATATGTCTGGTCATTATAAATTTAAGTTGTGTTGATGCTAAATGGTGATTTTTCCAAAAGGAAAAGAAATATTTTCAGTAGTTTTCTCCAGTTCAGAATGTCAAGGATTCTTATCACTGAGGCTCAGAAGAGTTCATTTCCAAATACATGCCCTGGCTGGCCTGCTGGGCCTCAACACCAGAGGGGAGAGCTTGTCCTTATTACTGCTTTGTGTGCTCCCAAAGTGATGATGCAGAATCTGATCAGATTACCTGGGCAGATCCTGAGGATATTTCTTGCCTTTTCCTTGCTCTGTGGCATTATCTCTTTGGGTTAGGTAAGCTGCAAAGAAATGCCTGTTTTCTTCTGAAGCATCACAGATTGTTTAGCCCTAGGCAGGCTTTTGCTCCAGTTCGTTGGTCATTTCTATCTTGTTTTATCCTTGCAAGTTTTAGGGAGGGAAAAAAACCCCATGTTTTAAAGAGTTTCCTTCACTTACTCAGGATTATGAAATATTTATGTCATTTAAACTCCCTTTAAATGAGAGAAAATACAGCGTGACACTTTAAAACTGGAAAAAAAACAAACCTATCTGCAACAAAATAGAACTTTTTAAACAAAAATGGTAATGCCCAGCATTTATGGAAATGCCCACCTGTGCTTTGCCAGTCACAGCTCTGGCTTGGTACAACAATGAGCTGATATTTAGCAAATATCCTTCACTTTGGGAATAAAGTTGCAGCAGTCCATAGTGCTGCTTCCCATCCCTTAGTGTCACATTTTTTCCTTGAGTGGGGTGAGTCCCATTCCTTGGCACTCTCTGGGAGCGTTTCTACGGCCCATTGCCCCCCAGAGGGACCTGCAGGTGTGAATTTGGAGAGTTTCAGCCTTTTTTAAAAAAAAAAAAAGTCTCTTAAAATGTTTACAATTACATTAAATTTTCGAAGACACAGAAATCAGATACTGGCAAAGAGCCCCCATCCCTCCATTCCTGCCGTGTGAGGTTTGCACTGAGGTTGGTGACGATCAGGGACTGTCCAGGTGCCTGTAAGTGCTTCAGACAAACCACAAAGCCGTGGTCGTTTTGTGGCCTTTGGGCACTCCCATATAGGAAAACCCAGGCTGGGTTCCCACTGCTGGTGTTTTCAGTCTGAGGACGTGTCTGACGGTGGTGAGAGGTTTGTGGGCTGTGCAGGAGCACTTCACTGGGCCACTGCTGACAGAGGCTGATCAGGGCAGTTTGTTCTGCAGCATAAAAATTGCATTAAACTGTTCTCGGGGACAGCAGCGCTGAAGGTAAATGGCTTTTCCCTGGAGCAGAACAAACCAAAGGAAACCTGTCCCAGTACCTGGTGATCTCAGAAGAGCCCACAGAGTGCTCAGGAATATCACACACCGTCATTTGGGGGGAGCTTTTTGGCGTTGCAGCCCCGTCTGAGAGGTGCATTCGTTTCCATGTGCTCACTCACTGAGCAGGCCTGATTAATTAGTGCATGTCACCATCTGGTACTTACTGAGACTATTCATTTTTAAAATGTTGAAATTGTAGGGAATGTTGCACACCAATTAAGTTCCTTTTAATTGGATTATTTTAGTATAAAGTATTACTGGAGAAGGCCTTCATTGTGATTCAGGCAGCACACGTCCGAAGGAGACCTGACAGCCTGAAATTACCTAGAACAAAGGGAAAATGCCTGAAATGCATGTTTGTTACTATCTTCATGCACTCAGCAAAGATGATGTCAACAAATAAGAGCCACAGAAACACTTCTGCATTGCTGTGCCGGGTTCAGTTTCCTGACACAAGGGTATCTCAGCTGATCCCTGCTTCATCTTTGCACTGCAGCTCCGAATCTGTCATCTCCCTCTGACCTGGAAAGTGAGATATGCTTTTATGTTCCTGTCTGTTTGATATCAACTCAACAGGGCCAGGCTGAGCCCTGCTGTGTGCAGTTGTGTACCTGCTGAAACGAGGAGCATTAGTCTCATTTACACACAGAACGAGTTGGCCTTTAAAGCTGATAAATTATCTGTGCTGACTCAACCATTTAGTGAATGAATGAAGTGTCACAATCTGCTGTTGGGAGCAGAACTTGTCTGTCTGTACTTGTTCCTGACACTGACTCACTTGGTGAATTTTAGTTCCTCAGCGTCACTGCACTGCAGTGCTTCCCTGTATAAATTGTGAAGAGTTCTGTTTATCAACTTACATAAAAGACTGAGATACAAGGGTGAAATGCTCGCCGTTGATATTATGTGTTTGCTATTAATACTTTCTTTAGAAGTGTAATGCTGGTTTTTAATGTAACATCTGTGTTTGTTATTGCCTTGATTTTGTGGAGATTGTCTTCAAATAAGTTCTGTCATCTGAAATACTCATTGCAGAAGAGCCAGGAGCTCTGCAGAGTGCACATTCCTATTCCATTGGTTCATAGGCTGCCATGGAAGCAGGAAAGTTATGGAAGAAAAGATACCTGATCAGTAGCAGCTGAAGAGATCTGAGGTGTGAGTGCCTGGATCTCTTGTTGACCTGCTTTGTTTTGGAGAGTAGCGTAGGAATCCAGCAAGGAACAGTGTCAGGGCGATTGTTTCCATGTATTTGTGTACATTTTCATTCCCTTCGATGGCCTCTGCTGCCCCCTGCCAAGCTGCAGCTGCCGGTGACAGCCATGGAAGCAACAGCCTGCTGAAAGAAGATTTCATTTCTGTTATCACTCCTAATCACTCTCACCATAATTATCACTCATAATAGGGAATCTGCAGATGAAAAAGCAAATGTATTATCTTTAAAGAGATAGGAAAGCAGCCGAAAGATTGCTTTTAGTTGTACACAAAGGAAGAAACTGTCTCAGTTTGTTTTAGCATGCAAATGCTTGTTTTGACTTATAAAGGTCACTATGGATTTGATTTGAAATAGCGTAGGAGTGCTGCTGCTTTCCAAGTACAAAAGTAGCACAATGTTTGAATTGTTTTGGTTGTTTTCTTAAGATCCATTTCCTCTGGTTGGAAGGTGCCTGTTTCCTCTCTGCTGCAGCTGCAGGCAGTGTCAGGGCATGCGGCAGGAACTGCTCGTCCTGCGGGTGCCTGAGCCAGTTGGAAACCCAGCTGGGCTTCACAGACCCAGGAACTCAGTGGCTCTTCTGTCTCAGACTGTGTCACAAATCATCTTGGGCATTGTGGTTGTGTTTAAACCAGTTCTATTGGCTGTTGGAGAGCAAAAGATCTGAAATACTTGTGCATGGCTTATGTATTTTTTCCGTGTACCAGTCACACATCTGCATTTCCACAGTCCCCAGGTATCTGATTGTGCTGGGACATGGGGTGAATGTTTGCACGGAGCTGTCACCCTGCTGGAGTTGTTATTCCCACTGGAGTGCTGAGGTTCCTGCAGTTCCCATTCACGTGTGGGGTGAGCTCTCCCTTGGCTTAGAGGGAAACTGCTCAGCATCCGTGTGTCTGAGGGAGTGAGAGGGAACAGCGTCACAGCACAGCCAGTGGTACCACAAACGTGCAGCAGAGAGCTTTCCCATTGCTACCCTGGCTTTCCTTAGCCTGGAACACCATGGAGCTCTCTGACTTTTGATGGAATTCCAGAGCAAGTGCAGCTTATGCAATTTCAGAGAAATAATATCACAGGGTGAAATCTTAAAGCACACACACGTGCACAAAGCCTGTTGTTTAAATTGTTTGTTCAGAGCTTTTATGTAATGGGGAACTATATTTTCAAAAAAAACCCATTTAGTTTAGATTCCCATTAATGTAACTTTACTCCTTTTATTTGTTAAACACATGAAAGGAAGGAGTTAACCAGAGTATAAAATTGTAGTATGTGTGCTCTCTTTCTGATTTTAGGGGAATTATTTCTTAATGTAATTTGTCTGCTTACAATATATGGGCTTGCAAAGTGTTGAAGCAACAAATCTTGAGAGAGAGATCGAAAAACATACAAAGGCATTTTACTCTGTATATATAAAATAAAGGCAGATCTCAGCCTGGCAGGGTTTCTATCTCTTAGGTCATACAGAGAAAGCTTTTGGCACCGACTTTTTGGCAAAAAGCTTTGTCTGGAAACATATTTAGTCAGCATATGAAATATGATAGCCCTGGTAGCACGGCTGTGTCTGAAGACACTAATAGAGTTAGGCTTCAGCCCCATCTGCTGTTGGATCGGGATGGCTCTGTTGGTTTGCCAGCACAGGACAGCCCCTTGCCAAAACCCAGAGCAGGACGTGAGGAGACTGACAAATCCCTGCTCGTGTCAGCTCTGCTAATGAGGCTGTTGTTTGCCACGCTGATGAAAGCCAGTTGTGCCTGTGGGGAATTCCAGCACAGCTGTCCATGGAGAGCTGCATCTGGGGCCGCAGGGCTTTATCAATGCCCTTTCAGTGCACCGGGGGGAGCAGCAAGGATACTTCCTCCTGAAGGTCTGTGAGAATAGATTATTGATTTCCAGTGCCTGTGTTTACAGAAGTAGCAGTGGACGTACAGATTCTTTCACCTCAGTAAAATCTCTCCAATAATTTGAGTTATGCAACAGTGACGAAGAGAACAGACTTGCGGATTTGGCTCAGGAGGCTTAAAATCTTCAGGCATTAATTCATGAAACTCTCAAATCCTGCATACTCCAATGTCTATAAAGCACAGCAGATTCGTGTTTGACTTTTACTTAGGGCTGATCATTTCAGGAAATAAAAAGATTCACTTTGAAAGAGATTTTCAGTTCTTCTTCAGTTGTTATTTCTGGAGGGGTTAGGTGGAAAAGCTACATGTGAAACAAATCAGGGACTAAAAATCCATAGCTTTGTTTTGAGGATATCAGAATGGTTTATAGCCACTGTGGTAAGCAAAAGGAGAAAAAACAGTGACTTTCTAGAAAGATTTCCACAGTATTTTTATCTGACTTTTCCAGGACATCAGTCCAGCCTGTCCCTTCAGCCAAAATACCTCTCCAGTTATCATTTGACTCTTATGAAAGAAGTGCTAAAATGGCAGAGTTTGGAATTGCTTGAACATATTTTCTCACTTAAGCTGAGCTTGTTCACATTCAAAGCTAAAACAAATTATCTCAATTGCATTTAGGAGAGTAAACATGCTCTTAGTTTTCTGTCTCATGTTTAAGTAGTTCTGGTGAAAGCAATGTGCACTAATCTTTGGGTTTATATCCTCTTCCTGCATTTTTTTTATTGGACAAAATTAAAGGTCAATGGTCCTGAACTAGTCAAGAGAAATACTCTAAATTCTCAGTCGTTGCCATTTCTCTCTCTCTCTCTCTGCTTTCAGTAACACAAGGCTTAGCTGCCAAAGTTTTAATTCTTTATGTATGAGAAGAATGATATTTGCAACTTGTTTTTACATTTCAGTTACATGGTTTCATAAATTTATGTAACAAGAGAGACGCATCAGCAAAAGGCTGCTTCCAAGTTGTCCATAGTGTAGAAAATATAAGTACAGTGATCAAGCAGGTTTTTCCCTGTTCTCATCCTCATTGTCTTTTGTATTCCAGCATGATCAGTGCTCGAAGGAGTGGCCGTACTACGTGAGCAGAGTGGAAACATATGGATGAAATGCTTACCATGCACTGAGCAGCACGGCACCAAGCACAGAGCTCCGGGAAAATGTCTGCTTGCAACACTTTCACTGAGCACGTCTGGAAACCCGGTGAATGTAAGAACTGCTTCAAGCCCAAAAGCTTGCACCAGTTGCCCCCCGTGTCAGAAAAGAAGCCCCTCTCGCATGGAAATCTGAAACCCAATGCAAACCAAAGCAACAGCCAGCGGGGGAGAAACAGCGGGAACTTCCGACCGCCCGTGGCCAAGAAACCCACCATAGCTGTGAAACCCACCATGATGGTGGTGGATGGGCAGGGGGTGTGTGCCGAGATCAGCACGCTGGAGCAGGGGGAGAACAAACCCCTGCCCACGGGGTGGAACCGAAACAAAGCGGCCTTGAACAAAAAACCACTGAACAACAACAACGAAGAGGAAATCGAAGGTTACAGCCACGTCTCCAGGCCTTACGGCAACAACGAGGGGGTGGGGAAGATACCAAATAACAATAACAACGGACTGACAGAAGTTTTGAAGGAGATTGCAGGTTTGGACACCGCACCTCAGCTCACCGGCAATGAAACGAACTCAAGAGAAACCTTCTTGGGAAGGATAAATAATTGCTATAAAAGGTCATTAGAAAGAAAGATCCCTCCGAGCTGCATGGTGGGTGGAATGAAGGACTCACAGAGTAAGCACGTTATTCTGAGTGGAAGCACTGAAGTAATAAGTAATGAAGGTGGACGTTTCTGTTATCCAGAGTTCTCTAGCGGAGATGAGAGTGAGGATGACACGTTTTTTGGCAGCATGCAGGAAGAGCATGAGAGCTGGGACGAGAGTGATGAAGAGTTGCTAGCGATGGAAATTCGCATGAGGGGCCAGCCCCGCTTTGCCAACTTCAGAGCTAACACCCTGTCTCCTGTGCCGTTCTGTGTGGACAAAAAATGGAACACTGTGCCCCTTCGGAACAAGTCTCTGCAGCGGATCTGTGCAGTAGATTATGACGACAGTTATGATGAAATTTTAAATGGTTACGGGGAAGAGACTGTGATTCTCTATGGGCAAGAGAGCATGCAGAGTATGGTATCGTCTGATTCGACGTCTCCTGATTCTTCTCTGACAGAAGAGTCTCGTTCCGGAACAACGAGCAGTTCTTCACAGAAGCTCTGTAATGGAGGGTTGTCTCCCAGCACTCCTCAGGACCTCAAATTGATCGAACCGGAATATGAAAGTCTCTGTGACGATCAGCAAGTGAAGGATGTGTCAAAAGCGCCCAGAAATGCTCCAAAAAGTCTAGAAACTCACAAGGCAGTCCTTGCGCTTCGACTGGAGGAGAAGGATGGCAAAATTGCTGTGCAGACTGATAAGCAAGAGAATAAAAGTTCTTCAGATGTTGCTGGTCAAGCAGTAACTATTAATTTGGTGCCCGTGGAGGAGCAAGCTAAACCTTACAGGGTGGTGAACATGGAACAGCCAGTGTGCAAGCCATATACTGTGGTGGATGTATCAGCTGCCATGACCAATGAATGTAAGGAGAATCAGACTGAAACCTCAGAAACCAAAAATGCATCATCTAACCCAAGCTCGCCGGTAACTCCAGGCACACCTGTTGCATCCTCTGCAGCATCACCTGTACGTGTTAATGCTAACCTGAAAAAATCCAGTGCAATCAGATACCAGGAAGTGTGGACTTCTAGTACTAGTCCAAGACAGAAGATACCTAAGGTGGAGCTGATTGCAAACAGCTCAGGACCTTCCGTTCCTCCCAGGAAGACAAGCCACAAGTCAGCTCCTACTTCACCTACAGCTACAAACATTTCTTCAAAAACTATCCCAGTTAAGTCTCCCAATTTATCTGAGATAAAATTCAACAGCTACAACAATGCTGGCATGCCACCTTTTCCTATTATCATTCACGATGAGCCCACTTATGCCAAGAGTTCCAAAAATGCTATTAAAGTTCCTATTGTAATCAATCCGAACGCTTATGATAACCTGGCTATCTATAAAAGTTTTCTAGGGACCAGCGGGGAGCTGTCCATCAAAGATAAAACTACCAGTGTGATAAGCCATACATATGAGGAAATAGAAACAGAAAGTACAATAACTGAAGCCATAGGCAGTAAACCCGCTGAGTTGTCCCAACCAAAGGGGGTGATGAATAGCTCTGAGTGCAGACTGGGTTCTGTGGCTCAAAAGGTCCAAGAGTTCAACAGCTGTCTCAGTAAAAGCCAGATATCCCCACAGAGAAGTCACAGTGCTGACCACAGCTCCCCATCAAAAGCTCAAAAGGCGACACAAGAGCCTGCAGCGAAAACAGACGTAACGCCGGAGGGTTCTGTTGGCAGCAGTGGTGGCAGAGAGAATGCAAGCACGGTGCTCTCACAGATTGTGGCTTCTATCCAGCCTCCACAATCTCCTCCAGAAACACCTCAGTCTGGACCCAAGTCCTGTAGTGTACAAGAACTGTATTCCTTACCTCCGGAGGGAGACACTCCTAAAAACACCCTGGTACGACCCAAATCTCTGTTTACGTCACAGCCTGAAATAGAGTCCTCCAAGACGGCGGAAAACACGGCTGGGAAAGTGCCGAAAGATCCGCTGTCCCAGCTGGCTGCCACTCCCTCTCCAAAGCCAGCGCGAGCCACCCCGAATGCCACGAGTCCTCAGGCAGAGCAGGCACCGCCGTTCCCGCCCCCACGCTCCACCTCCTCACCCTACCACGCCAGTAACTTGCTGCAAAGACATTTCAGCAACTGGACCAAACCCACCAGCCCCACCAGGTCCACGGAGGCCGAGTCGATCCTGCACTCGGAGGGGCGTCGCGCCGACGCGAAGCCCAAACGCTGGATATCGTTCAAGAGCTTCTTCCGCCGCAGGAAACCCGACGATGAGGAAGACAAAGAGAAGGAGAGAGAGAGAGGGAAGCTGGTGGGTCTGGATGGAACTGTCATCCACATGCTCCCCCCTCCCCCAGTTCAGCGGCATCACTGGTTCAGCGAGGCCAAGTCGGACTCCAGCGAGAAGCCCTCCATCGTTTTCATGTACCGGTGTGAGCCGGCGCCGGCTGAGCCCAAGGCTGACCTCCCACCCAAGGGGGGAGTGGAGTCTGCCATCGCAGAGGCACTGGCAAAAGACAAAGGCGAAGCGCAGGAAAAGCCTCCCAAGAGCTCTGAACAGAACCCAGCGAGCCATTCCTCACCACCTCAGATTCCCAAGAAAATCCCCAGGTACTCCGCTCGGCTCTTTCAGTCGCTTACTCAGTTATGAACTGTCCTGTATTTACTGCCGAAAAGGGGGGAACCGAGGAGTTTTGCTACATGAAGTGTAATTTTTTCAAAGTATATTTGTTTTAGGTAACTTAGAACATGTTTTAAGAATCTCTCCATTACATTGGATATCAGAAAAGTTCTTAAAAACTTTTTAGAAGCAGTAGCTGATATTTGCAGTTTGTCTTGGAGGTTCACCAATGTGTCACAATAGTGTTCCATTGATTCAGATCCTTTCTCCTGAATTTTTACTTTAAGAAAGTGTTTGTATGTTATGGGAAACCAGAGAACTTCTCTGCAGAAGGAGAAGGCAATTATTGAAAAGCACAACAGAAATTAAAAATCTGTGGCTCTTGAAAGGTGCAGTGCTCAGCTTGATGCTGCACTGCAACATCACTGCAGCATCCCAGAATAAACCATGGAAAAAATTAGAGTACCTATAAAATAATCTTACCTCTGTCTTGCAAGGCCTTTAGCAGTGGACATGCTTTGTCCCCCAGCAGGATTAGATGCAGTAGAGCTGGTCACAGCATCATTTGCAGCCAGTCACATGGGCACAGTGTGCATTTCCCTGAGTGCTGACCACAGCTGGGGATCTGTTAGAATATGTCTTCCAGTGTTATTACACAAACCAATCCCGAGGCACCTTCAAACTTGCATTATCTAATTCATTATAAAAGTAACCTAATGGTAGGAAATTAAAAATGTTGTAAAGTGTGAGCTGTGTGTGAGCCCCAGAAAATGCATCATGGCAGTGCTCTTTGGTTTTCTTCCTCCATATTTTGTATAAGAAAGCTGTGGTGTTTCTTAGTTAAGATAGTTTTAAAGTTGACTTAAGCTAACAGAAATCACTGGGTGAGCACAGTTAGAGTTTACCATAAACGGATTGCCACTTGTCCTAAAGTAAAATAACTTGGTTTTCTTTCTCCACTCTCTCTACAAGAAAATTGCCAGCAACCCTTGGTCAGAGTGCAGTCTCTCTAGACTTGCCCCAAATTAAATGGGGAGAAGCAGGCAGCTTTAGGGCAGGTTAAAGAACTGGAGGAGTTTGTGCTCTCGACCCCCTTTACAGGAACCCATTTTTTCCCCTGTATCCAGGGGAAGCTGGAGAAAGTGAGGTTGACTTTGATTGCGTTGCCATCAGGAGATTCTCTTGCTCCCAGCTCCCCAGTGCCCCCTCTTGTGCTGCCAAGACAGTCCATGTGGTCACCTGTGCTGAACCAGACAGGGGAAGGGATCCAAGAGGGAAATAACCTTGCAGGCATTTTTCAGCCAGATCAACTCCCTGGTGTGCCAGGGGACAGGCAGGGAGGAGCAGCTGCTTCTGCCAGTGGTGAGAGGGCAGGAAGAGTTCCTGATTCTTGCACTGCCCTGGAGATGGTGCTGTTGGAATGTGTGATATTCTTGCCCTGTGACTGGAGCACCTTCTGCCCTCCCTTTTGAAGGCAATTTGTCACTGCTCTGTCTTATTCACTTACTCCAAAAAGTATGTTTGCTCTTTAGTCTTCTGCAAGTTACAGTGATGCTGGTTAAAACCACGTCTTTAAGTTTCTCCTGGTGAAAATGGGAGTCTCCCAAATGTTAGAACTGGAATTTCTCCTTTCTAACAATATTGTCCTATTGTTTCTACACATTTCAAAGGAAATACACTGAGATGCTCAGAAATACATTGTGGGAACACTGGATAGTCAGTAGCTTCATCCTTTAGTTTTTATATTCAGGTACTTTGATGCCTTGAGTTATTTGGGGTTTTTTAATTAATTTTTAATAGTCTTAAAAAGACCAAGTGAAACCTTATAGTGCCAAAAAAATAAGAGGGTTTTTTGTTGATTTTTAAGGGGTTTGGCTTTTGTTTTTAATATCCCAGTAGGTGAGAATCAGGATTGCCAAATTCCATTTTTGCACAAGCAGGAGACATAACTGATGAGATGCTATGCTTGGTTTGTGTGAGCTCTTCAGGTATTACTGTGAGGTTGGTGATAATTCAGGCTAAAATAAGAGCATGACAAAGATGTTGAAAATCTTGGGTTAAGCTTGCAGAGGCTTAGAGGAGAATGGAAGAGCTGAAGATACTGATCAGTGAACAGGACACTTCCCTAACTCAGGATGCCAAGAACAGTAAACTCACTGAAAAAAAAAAACCCAAACTGATGACCTGGAAAATAAGATAAGCTTTAAAAATGGCAGATTACTGGGAGGTCTTGAAAGCAAATTAAATAAGATGCAGTATTTACTTACTTTGCAATGTCTTACAAAGCTGCTGAAGATTGATAACCACAAAAGGACTGAAGGTATTTGAAGTTATCACTAGAAAGGGCAGTTTTTCCTTTGAACAGCACTTGCAAAATACTCAGTTCTTTGGAAAGCTGAAAATTATCTCTCTGTTATCCAGAGGAACTTGGTTTTGGTTTATCCATGTGATTGTTTCCTTCTGTGTGATGCCAGGGCACACATATGCTGGTTCAAAAGGAGCTAGCAAATGATATATTAAATTTGCCAAAAATTTGTAGATGGATTAATTTGTGCTAAAAATCAGCTTTGTCATTAATTGGAATGAAAATCAGGTGTTCTTAGAACACCTGTAGTTCATGAAGCAGCAGTTGTTCTCAGGCAAAACCTAAAATTGACCTCTGAAAGGATAACATGATGATATTTCTGGCCCGAGTCACTGTAATTGATGGAGGTGGTACAGCACAGTGTGCAATCCACTCATCACAAGTTTAATAAAAAGATTCTTCAAAGGCTTTGTTATCTCATAGATCAGAGCGTTCCCACTGGAGTTTCACGAGATTAAGGCTTCTCCTCTCCTTCATTGAGACATCTCTGCTCACACCCAGCAGCAGCTTTTTAGATTGAGACGTTTCCCAAAAGCAAAGTGCAGCTCAGTGTCCTGCTGCTTCCTTGGCTGTCTGCATGAAGGGCTGAACTGAATCACCCTCAGAGCCCAGCTCCCCTCACTGCTTTAGGTGGCAGAGCTTTGCTAATCCTGAATTTCCCTCACTGCTTTAGGTGGCAGAGCTTTGCTAATCCCGAATTTCCCTCACTGCTTTAGGTGGCAGAGCTTTGCTAATCCTGAATTTCCCTCACTGCTTTAGGTGGCAGAGCTTTGCTAATCCCAGTGCAAGTGCCCCCCCACCCGCGTGCACAGCCACCCCCACTGCAGTTACACATCAAACAAAGAGTTTCCTTTCACAGATACAAGTCAGCCATAACTTTCCTTTATGGGATCTTTGGCCCAGACTTGGATGAAGTAAAGATCAAACTGTGTGTTTCCTGAAATACTTCCCTCAGGTAGTGAAGTCTGTATATTCATTTTGTTCTGGTTCAGGTAAGGAAGCATTTTTTCCTAGCTAAAGTTGGGATTACCAGTCTAATTCCCAAAATTATGTTAACTTTTGCGAAAGGCTTTGAGTTCGTAACCAGTAGATCTGAGCTCTGTGTCTAGAGGAATAGGAATGTTGTGATGGGTCACTCAGTAAAAACATTGGGAATTGTTGTTCTTCAAAAATGTGGTCATATATTAAAATCAGGGTTACATCCAGAGATAGGCAGGAATAACCACCACTGCCACATTCCACTTCAGCATTGTCACTGATCCAGTCCTGCAGATTCCACAGCTGCTTCAGAAACTGCTTGGGAAGATAACAAAATCTGTCAAATCACAGAAGGGCTCCCTTTAAAACAAAGTCCCTCCCAGTTTGGAGGAGCTCTGGTCTAATTCTTAGGGTGAGGTTCTCACCTGAATCCCAAACCTTTCAAGTACAGCTTGCACAAACTGATGAGGAGAATGCAAGGATGTTATAGATGAAAAGAAATTTCTTGCTTGAGCAACTCTACTGAAATGGGAGAAATTTTAGGTGGATCAACTCTCCCTTCTTGTCAAATCTCTGTTGGTTTGCTTTTATCTGGATATCAGCAAGCTTTATCTACCTTACTCAGCAGTGCTTTTAAAAGCATTAACCATTTATCTTACACTATTTCATCAATTAAAAACATGTGAGATTTTCCTCTAGAACATCTCCATGCTGACAGAATTGGAAATGCTGTGTGTGCATTAAGCAATAAGTTTGGTAACGTTTTCTGTGGGAACTCGTAAACACCAAGGACTGATAAAGAACCAAGTAGAAGGGGTTTTACCATTTATTATTTTATAAATTTAGATTAAGAAATGGTAAATCTTGTATTATTGTTCTTAACTCCTCTAATACAGTTTGTAAAATGGAAAGAGCGAGAACTTAAAATGGATAAAGAAAAATATATTTTTTATAACGCACAGTTAATCTGTGGAACTCATTGCCATTAAGTTTCAGTGACACTAAAGAGCTTAGCAGGATGTCTTTAGTGGATTATCAAATGTATACCCTTTATCCATGCAAACATCACATTATACAAGACTTGGGGGGAAAAAAAAATAATATAAATTCTCATACTTCAGGACTAAGCCAGCTTCTAAATAATCAGAATTAGGAACTTTATGGCTTAGCTGTTTCAGGTTGTCATTTTAGAAGTTTGTTTCACTTTCCTCTTGGGTGACTGTTCCTGGCTAATGGTGGTGATGAGGAACTGAACTGCAGGAGCCACTGGAATGTTTTCTGTACCCAGAGTGCATCCTGGAACCTGGGCACTGATGGGCTCTGCTCGGTGTTTTGCAGGAATAAAGTGGTCTGTGTTCTGAGGAGAAGTTGCTGGGTAAGGTGGCCTTTGACCTCCTTCCACTCATTAACCTCTCTGCATTTTTTCTCCAGCATTATTCAGTCAGTGTAGGCTTTAGATTGGCTTTATTACCTTACAAGTGTAGGGCCTGAGGGGATCTCAAAGTGCTCTCTTTGACACTAAATATACGTACAAATTGCACAGTTGGTGCTGTGTGTGTGTAAAACTGAGTCATCTTCCTTGTCAGCCCCAACTGTCCTGCTGCCAGTGGCTGCTGCTGTGCTGGTGCACGCTCAGGGAGGGGATCAGATCTCTGCTGGGTCCAAGGCCACAGCAGCTTTTCTCTGTGTTTGTCACTTATTCCTGCCACTGGGATTTATCTGCTGTCTTGCACAGAACTGTGCTCCCTCAGCCTGGCCTCTAGACCTGACCCTCGTTGAGGAATACACTCTCACAGTCACTTCTTATAAGCATTGCACATTATCTCCCTCCTATTCCTTGCTATTTATTACTCACTGTAATTGAGTAGGTGTGCTCTGAATAGAGGAAAACACAGGTCACACAATATCTGTGATTCCAGTGTCCTCACCAGAATTAACACCCTACACAGGCAGCTTTCTGGATTCTTCTGTTCCCAAAAGACTGAGACAAGTTAGACCACACCATCCTTTGGCAATCCTCCAAGAGCTGTGAAGGAGGAGAGCCTGAAGGAAGGAGTTAGGGGCATTTGTCCCTGCAGAAAAATAACGCTTTTAAAACAGTTTTGAGCTTGTGCACATGTGAATGACAAGTATGTGAATTCAGTGGGGTGTTATCTGAAGGACAGTCATTTTTATGGCAAGTTTTCTTGCTGCACATAATCTCAGCTTCTTAGGAAAACAAACGTGTTCTCTGCGTGCAGAGGGCTTCTTCCTCCAGTAACTGGACAGTTGTTTAGTGTCAGCCTCTTGTGCCCGAAGGAGCAGAGTTCTCTAAGATAATTAATTTCCTATGAAGTTTGGTTTTGGAATAAAAAAGGGAAAAGAAAAAGACTTGGACAGAGGAGGCTGCGCCCACTATGGTAGAAGCTAAATGTGTGCTCTTATGCAAGGCATCAAAGAATCCATCCTGGCAAAATAGCTATAAATATCCCAAATAAGGAGATAGCTTTAAGTATCACTTGCTACCAACAAGCAGATAGAAAGTAATACAAAATCAGGCTTTAATGGTTCTAATCTCAGAGAACTGCTCGTTTATCAGCTGCTCTTCTCTTCTCGAAAACTGGTTGTTTTAACTGTTTCGTTCATGAAGCAAAAGCAACTGGGAATTTGGTTCTTGTAGCTCCCTGAGTGAGGATGGTTTCCCCTTCTGTTCCTCCTGTGTCCTGCCAGCTCTGATGGAGGGTTGCTGGGTCTCTGCACTGAGTGTCCATGAGCTGGGTCGCTCAGTCTTGGTATTAAGATCCTGGAAAGCATTTCCCCATGGATTTCATGACCTGCCATTGAACTGCTGGGCTTTAAAATGTATTCTTTTGAGGCACAGACTGCAGATCTGAGATACTCACTTTTAACAGTAGGTTAGTCTTAGTTCCTAAAACTCCTCTTGAAACTTGAACGTGCTTTTCCTTAAGTAATACCATGACTAAGGCCATAGCTGTCATTCCAGAGCAGTGATGTAGCAGCCTGTGCACTGGATTTCCTTCAGGGAGGCAGTGGAAGAGTTAAGGAGGCAGGGCTGGGGCTGCCTGGCTTCCCGGGGCGCTTTGGCAGGGCCCAGCCCCAAGGTAAACAGAAGGTGCAGTAGGTGTATCACTGTGCAGAGTTCAGCCCTTGCTCACAGCTTGCACAACTTGTAGCACACCAGAACACTGTGGAATCAATGGCTCGCCAGAGTTTCAAGACATGATTAAAAGACTCAAGAAGGCCCTGAAAGAATTTCCTTTAATGGGGAATTGTGTGAGTGAGTACAGTGGGTGAGTTGGTATTTTTTTTTTTCCTTCTTCCTTTCTAGCTGTTGGTTTACTTTGGCAAATGGCTTCTGAGCTTAGGTTTAGTGTATGTGCTTGCATGTGACTGGTTTGGAGAATGAGTATGTTCTGTACCTCACCAAGCAATACTAAAAAAGTTCCTCTGAGATGTGATAACTTCTGGTTTGTGGCAATGACAGAACTGTAAAGCTGTTAGAACCTATTTCTTCTTAAAGAAAACATTCCTGTTGAGGAATGCAGGTATGTATATTATTTACAGCATTTACAAGTCTTCAGTTAAATTTCTCCTCATCTTGAGAGCCTCGTTACTGCTTTAATTTTATGTCTGCTTTCCTCTGAAATTACAGTAGGTTAACTCTTTAATGTGGATATATTTATGGCACATGGAATGTTCCTCACACCATTCCTATGCATGGTACTAAAATGGAACAAAAAAAGGTTTCGCTGATTAAAGATTACATCCTTTTGAACTTATGCCATTTTTTTCTCTTTTACTAACAAGTTCTAATGAGTTTGGTTTGTGTCAGCCTGCAGTTCAAATTCATGAGTCTGAGCAGAAACAGCATGTGCTCACTGCACTGTCCTGGGGCTCCTGTCATGCAAAGGACTGGCATGTTTTAACCTTTGCAGTCAGGGATTGCTAGAAGATTGTGTACCATGATTTCCAGGATTTTGGCTTTGCCATAGAGAGAAATATGCCTATAATTTATGTTAACTCCTTCCAGAAGTTTTAAATGTTTAGCACAAAAAATAAGTATCTGTACAGATACATGATGTGGTGATCATCTCCTGATGGAAGTGTGTTACTCCTGCCCCTTATGGAAGTCACAAGTAGTTAAAATTCTTGCTGTTGAATTTGATCAGGCTATAGGAATGAGAACTAGAGAACAGCACATTTGGCTGTAATGAGTATTTGTTTCTGTGAGTGAGAGAATGTAAAGGCATGGAGATATTTTTGCTCTAACATGTTTTTGTGGCATATTACTGATAATTGCTGCTATATTTTCAATAGGATTAGGGGGTTTTTATTAAATCCCGACCATTTTTTCATACATATAATGCATAATTTTCAAATTATACTGCAATAAATATATCCGTGGAAACTGATTAAATCCACAATTTTCAGAGCTTTGTGCTATAAGTCATCACCATTTGATTGAAATTCAATCTTCCTAGCTAAGAGCAGGCACAGAGGAATGTGTTCATGGCCTTTTGCAGTTGGCCTAATGCAGGTGGATTTTAATCATGGCTTAGATGAGGTGTGTTGCCCAAAGTGTTGGTTCCCAAAATCCTACCAGTATATGAAAATCTATCATTTATTTTTTGAGACTTAACCCCCCTTTCTATACCTTGTTATCTTTGGTTAAAGCACAATTGTTCCAATTGGTAAAAAGCACCTCAAACTCTGCTGCTGTCCTGAGTCCCACACATTTTACCCGGGGTCATGCCTGCATAAGTATGTGCACACGGATGCTGATTGTAGCCAAGCTGTAAAACATTTTATTATGCCTTGCTATCAAAGGCATTCATTATTATATTCCATGGATTATTATAATTAGTATAATAGTAACTAACACGTTACTATTTCAGTCACAAGTTGTTTCTTCTCGTGAAGGAAAACTGTCAAAAATTGTCCTTAAAAAAGGGAGGGCGAAAGAACTTGTTTCTTTACGGGTTCATTCCCCCTCCTGAAAATGCCTCACCTGGTATTTTGCCGGGAGAATCTCCTGCCCAGCTTTGACCTCCAGGTGATTTTTGTCCTGTTTGTTTCAGTCAAGTGCCCGATGACACGACCCTGGAGGACTTGTCCCCTCGTGTCCCCAGAGCCGTGTTTGTGAAGCAGGACAATGGTGGCAGCGCCTCCGTCATTCCCGTGTCCTCGGCGCGTCCTCCGCAGGGGGAGGAGGAGAAAGAAGAAGCTCCACATTCTCCCAACTTAAATACCTGCAGTGCCACGTACAGCAATTTAGGTAAGTGTGCTCTCACGGAAGAAAATATCAGTTGGATCTGATTTTGGATCCCTTTCCAGGGTATGAGGAGCCTTTTCTTCTGAACAGCTCAATGCACCTTCATAAGGGGAGCTCTTAAAGGCTGACTTTTTAATATTGATAAATAAAGTTATGTTGTCTCCTTCTGTGATCACAACAAGAAAGTGAAGATTCAGCAAACTCAGAGGTTTGTTTTCCTGTAATTTAAAACAGCCTTTTAATTGGTCCTAGTGATAAACATCTCAAATGGTTTTAAAAGACACGTTGTTTTACCTTTTTGGAGAAATTTTGTCAAAGAGGTTTAAAACACAGAGCAAATGACCTAATTTCTTTAGAAACAGTAGATTTCAATATTTTTCCAAACTTCAACAAAAGATAGGACTTTTTATTTTAGAACATCAGTAGCTGCTACAATATTTGTAACCATCTTTTGTTGACTGAAACCTTTTTTATCCTGGTCTGAATGCTCCTTCATAATAAGATATGAATGTCCTGTCATTACTAAGTTCCTGACTCATATTAAAAAGATACATGGATGCAGTGCCTCTCTGGAAGATAAGGGAGCAACACAAATAAGCATCTCCTGATATCCAGTATTGGTATCATCAGCCTAACTTTCTGAAGCATTTTGATTTGAAGTACAGTGAATTTAGGGATACCTCCAGCCAGATTTCCTAGAAGAACAAAATCTCTCATTTATTTACGTTCCAGGATATCTGAATACATGTTTTTCAGTAACACCCCAGCCCTGTAAACACACCAACTTCTTAAGTGCTTGGCCAAGAGTAAACTGACTGCGTTGAGGTGGCTCACGAGTGCAGGGGGTTTGGCATGTCCACACATGTTTCAGGGATCAAGGGCTAAATTTTAAACCCTCAGGTGCCTGCATTCCTTCGACAGTCAGTGATAGTGTTGCATTTTTTTGCTTGAATGTGAATTAGCGGTGAACTTATGAGTGTATTCTGCTATTAAAACATTCATTAGATATCATTTGTGAAGCATAAAGTAGAAAAATACCCCGCCCAAGAGCAATACTAACACCTACCAAGAAACTCTTCCTCTGAGGAGGAAAACTAAAGTTTATATTTTTATGGTGAATTACTCCAAGGTCTAATGAACTACTTTCATTTTAGTGAGTATTTTAATTTTATCTGTGTCTGTATTTTCTGTATTTAGGAGATAGCTCCATGCAGGCAGAATCCAGGCAGTAGATGTAGCTCCCCCAGAGCTGCTTACAGCACGTTTAGCCCATGCAGTAAAATACCATTAAACACTGGAAGGGGTCACCCAAAGTAGTTGTGGAATCTCCATCTGTAGAGATACTCAAAACCTGACTGGACATGATCCTGGGCAACCCACTCCAGCTGACCCTGCCTGACCACCTCAAGGGATCCCTTCCATCAGCCCTGGCTTGTGTTAGTGCTGTTCCAGAGTTTGAATGTTCCCTCTCAAAACCACATAAAACTGAACCCCTTGGCATTTTATTCAAAATCTCATCCTTGGGTCACTTTGAGCTTTGCTGTCACCGAAGGAAATTTTAGGTATGAAAGAGTTAAGCCAGCTTTAAGGCTTGCCTGGGTCTGGCTCAGCCTGGCTGCCTGTTGTTAGGAGCAATGCTTCCCTAAATGGCACTGAGTTCTCTGGCTGCCATTCAAAGCTCTTCTGGTTTACTCAAACAACCTCACTTTCTAGTTCTGATGGCAACAGAGAGATTCCTAGGTAGGCACAGAGAATAATTCCTACTTGTTTTCACATCTTGCATCACCTAGGCAGCAAAGTCTTATCTTTTGTAGAATTAACAAATACTGGTATGTGAAAGTGGAAGAAAGGATAATATGAGAAGTTACACCACATTTGACTCTTGCTCCAGCTGCAATTGGAGCTACATAGTGCAGTTTGGAGTTTGTAAAGTACATCATGTGAACATCTCAATTTGCAGCATAATGCTCATTTTAAATACTAGTCTGATGCATATTCTATGTTTTTTATTTAAAAGCAGATAATATGTTACTACTTTGATAAATGTCTAATCTTCAGTTCTGACGTGTCATGTGAACGTTCATGAACAGAAATAACTGAAAGCTTTGGTAAATTGTCCTCTGCAGTCAGGTAATAGTTTATATCAGGTACTGCCCTCAAATATATTTGGTTTGGCCTTCCAAGAGACAAATCTTACAAAGCAGAAGATTCTCCTCTGGGAATCAGGTACAATATAAAAGACTTGGGGCTTTTAAGAGATCTCAGCATGATGATAGAAATAAAGACTGTTCCTGGCTGTACAAATAGAAGAAAACTTCAATAGGAGGAGAGAGGTTCTGTCTGTCTCATTTTTTCCCTGCAACTGCTGTGGCCACAATTTGAGAAGAATGTTTAAAGAAACTGTACAGGCTCTAAAGAACAACTTTGCAAATGCCTTGCATTGTGGCAGGCACTTCATGGGGACTAATTCAGGAAACTCAGTGTGTTCAGCTTATCAAAGCAAGAGTCTGCTCGTGGGGTGAGCAGAACTGTCAGGAGGGATACCTCTGGTATCAACTGATTTCACAAACTCCAGGGGCTGCCAGCTGAATCGAGATGCAGAAACAAATGTTCAAATGTGTAAGATAGGGCCTGGATATTTCTTTTTATAATGGGTGCCTTTATTGTAACACAAGTTAATTCAGGTAAGCCCTGTAGCTGATGATAAGGAAGACAATAGACTAGATAATTAAAAGCCTTTCCTTTACAAACCTTTAAATTGTTCTGTCTTTGTCTGAATTTGTTGGGGAAATTGAGTTGATTGAATTTGCATCCCTGTAAGTAGATTAAGGTATTCTCAATATACTCAGGATAGTATTTGTGTCATTGAAAAAAGAATAGGTTATTTCATTATCAGTGACTTTCCTCTTTACACTTAAAGAAGTGGGCAAAAAGGAGGATAAGTTTCTAGGTTTTGTGATTGCTGACATTGGAAAAAATCCCAGATCACAGCATCTGCCACGGAGCACTGCCCCAGTCAGTAACTTAGACCAGGGCAGTGTGCTTTAGCCAGGCTGTAAATAAGGTGCTGAAATCATTGCTGACTAAAACTGGCAGCTCAGTGACAGACAGTGATTATAACACCAGTCTGGTGCATTTTGTGTAATATGTGATTAGCACAGGTTATACCTTCAGTGTGGTGTGATGGAGGGTGGGCAGCAGGACCTGCCAAGTCACCCAGCAGACAAGCTGAAGCTTCTGGGATCTGCAGCCCAGTCTCAAATTATTGCTGAGAAACTGGAGGTGCATCCCAAATGTTACTTAACAAATGTCAGCTTTCCTCTCTCTTACATATCTCAGCATTTCGGTGAGATTTTTATCTATTAAATTAACAAGAAATGAGTAAACAACTGAGTGTAAGGCAGGATTTCATGGAGATCTCTGTACTGAACAATGTTATGGAATAGTGGTGTACGTGTGCAGCATTTGTTGGATTGGGGGCTGTGAAGTGTACTGGGAGCTTTTGCAGTGGTTGGAAGGCACCTTATGCCCTTGTGGCTTTTTTTCATGGTTTGGTTTTATGTATCAGTCAGGGTAAGAGTTTTATTAAGGAGTGATATCAGATTTGGTAGCCTGTCACATCAACAGGCTGCAATGCAAAGTCTGATGATAAATCAGTTACCCAGAAAAATAACATTTAAATGCCTTTTTCAGAGCTCTTTTAGAGTTTCAGACCTCTGCATGGTGTCTAGAGACTTCAGCATTAATATTTACAGAATCTCACTACACTATTTAATGGAAGATGTTATCGAACTGTAGAATTACTTAAAGCTCTCTAGAAAGCTGCTGTCTATAAAGAGTTAAATTTTTTTCTGTCATTGAGCAGTCTGGAATCCACTTCAAAGCTCTCTGTAACTGGTAGCCCAATATTGTGCCTTTTCACTTGCCTCCCAAGAGTGTGGCTCAGGCTGAACCTTGCAATGCTGGTGAGCCTGTGCAGTAGGTAAGGAAACAATGGTTTTAGGCATGCAAGGGGAGAAGGGAAGGATAGGCAAGAAAAAGAAATAAATGCATTGCTGGTACTTCTATGCAGCAGAATATTATTGTGCCTTTGACAGGGACAACATTTAAGACAGCTTTTTTTCTTGCTAGGCAATGAATTTATAAGAATGTGGGACATGAAGTTTCCTGCCTCAGGAAAGCTGAGCTGGAAAGACTGGCCCAGTGGGTATGAAACAAATGTACAGTCTTAAGAACTCAGCACAGCAACAGCACAGACATGAAGCTTTTCAGCTGTGTAATACAGATGGGTAGATTTCAATATGGAAAACTTGTTCCTGTGGGGAGAAATGACACTGTAACGTGGCATGTTTGACAAACTCGTTTTCCTCAGCTGAGAATACTTGAAACAGTGACTACAGATCGACTTGTACGTGCAGTTCTCTGGATCCTGCCACCCCCTCCATACTCCTGCAGAAAATCACTTCTGGCTATGAAAACCTTCCCCAATTCTGTTTGGATGTCACAGTTCCAATGCAAAAGCAGCACTGGTTGCAGTCTCAAGGCCCTCCTCTGTATGAATGGCTTTTGGAGGGCAGGGCCAGGAAAGCAGAAAGAAAACAAGAGAATGGAGCAGTAACACTGTTATAAATCTTACCTTTCTTGGAGAGGGCTCCTGCTGCTGCTGCTCTTTCACATGTGCATCTTGCTCTCATTTGTTTTCTTGTTGTTTCTCTCTGGCATCTGTGCAGCCCTTGGATCAGCAGATCCTCCTGCAGTAGTGTCCTCTCTCCCACCCCAGCAGTCAGGCTGTCTCAGCAGAGTGGGGGAGAGGGGAAGGATGAAAAAACAGGCAAGTGATCTTTAACACAGTGCTGCTGGGGAGAAGTACATAGGGCACAGATTTGGTAAGAGTAAGTAGTTGTGGAAGAGGGCACGTGCTTGGATGAGTAAGAAAATTGGATATGAAGTAGAAGTGAACTCGTCTCAGGACTAAGGAAAAAGCTGTGGCATCTGGATGCATGTCTGGCATGCAGACATCAATTCTACTTTTGACTCTGCACCTCTGCAAAGGGGAGATTTCTGACAGAGTTCCTGTGCTGCCCGACTGGCCCCAGGGTCAGAGGCTGCAGCACAGCAGTGAGAGGCAGAGCTGCCACAGTAGAGCTCTCTGGCTGCAGTACCACGATCCCAAAGGAGCAGTGGAGTCCCCTCAGTCTCTGAGTGTTAAATTTCTTTTAGCAACCTTGAAAATGATTTGCAATCTTCCCTGAAGATCGGGTATGTACAAAGCTGATAGAGTTTCGTGCTCCAAATTTGGTTTTTTAAACACTGGAAGAGCCAGGCTTATCATTAAATCTGTAAGGCTCTTCTGAGGGTTTCTGGAGCTTAAACAAAAGATAGAGAGAGAACTTCCATTTGTGATGTTGTCTCCTTGAAATGACTGAAAAGAGAGTGATTGTTAAAAATGTAGGATGCAAGGCTGTTATGTTTGTGGATACATATAAAAATGCAATCCTCTTTGATCTTGTGAAATCATTTCAGCATTCTAACCCAGCATTCCAGGTTTTTGTGCATCCTGGCCAAGTGGATCTCGGATTCTTTCATATTCAGAAAAACTATAACAACGTATCTTAAAAAGTAAAAGAAGTTATCTTTTATTTTTAATAGACTGCAAAGTCATTTATTATTAACAATGGACTGAAGTGATGTGATTCACATCTGAATCTGAGATCCCCCAGTTTGGTTCAGCATTCCAGCTCAGTCCTCTCTTTACAAGCATTGGTGGGCTTGGCAGTGGTAGGTTAACAGTTGAACTCAGTGAACTTTAAGGTCTTTTCCAGCCTAAACAATTTTATGATTCAGCACGTTATAAACAGTCAAATAGTCAAGGTGTCTGTTCCCTTATTAGAAAAGGTGCTCCACTGCAATTATTGTTTTCATGTCTGCTGGGTTGCAACTGTAAAAATTGGCTTCCTACCTTACCATGATAGTGAACCTCCCAGGAGTAGAAGAAAGCTTATAAAATAATTTCTCTGAAAGTAGCAGTTGATTATTAAGAGTGGAAAGATCTCATTTTGATATGAGTAACAACTGTTTAATTGTCCCAGAGCAGCAAGTTGGTCATTTGTATTGTCTGTTTATTAGTTTCTGTTCTCCATTATATTATTGTCATTTATTTGTTCTTCATTTCCAAGGACTCTGGCACTTATAAAAGATAATTGCCCTCCATAAAAGCCATTCAAAGCACATGACAGGAAGTTTATCTTCCCTGGATTCACACAGATGTCTGAAAGCAGTCTGTCAGTGGAAACTCTATGCTTGTGTGTACGTAACCCCCTGTTTGGAATTTCTTGACTGAAGCTGGGTCAGATTATCTATGAACACAGTATTGCCAACAAAGGTACCCATGGCAAGAGAGGAAGGGAAATGTATTAGAGAAGTTACAGTTGGGGGAAGGGATGTGAGTTTTAAATTGTAGGGTAAAAAATATTTCTGTCAAAACACGACTCTGTTCTCGATGGGAACACACTTGTCAACGTGAGTGAAAATAGGCCTAATTTCCTTGTTTCCAGCTGGTGAATCTGCTGGGGCAATCCTAACTTCCCAATGTGACCACAGAAGTATCTAAACTACATTATTTGTGTCTGAAGGTTTCTGGTTTCCATTCTGAAATAAGATTTTCAGCCTCTCTGGCAGATTTCCCAATTTATGGAAATTTATGGACTGCTGTCTACCCATAGTTTTGGCACATCTGAATAGGAAGTCAGGAATAATATTATAGTTGAGTGCAGAAGAAATTATGGGTGGCTGGGTGTAATTGCTGAAACTGGACTTTGGCCAAAGTGCCAAATTGATGTTTGGTTTTTCCTTGCACTTCTTGTCATTAATCAGGTGGGAGGTAAAGTGGCAGCATTGCTGGCACTGACACTGATGTTAATATATATGCCAGGGTCAAACCAGGACTGGCTGGATGTAATGACATGTATGGGGTGCTGATTTGGTCATTTTGCTTAGTAATTAGTTCATCTTTTCATATATGTATTTAGGGGTTTTTTTAATATTGGGAGAGTCCCAGTCAGCTTTATTTTTTTGCCTTAAACTTCTTTGCAGAGCACAAATATGAGCAGCAGATGCAAAGTACTTTAATCTTCTGTCACTATTATCTTATTCCACAGGACAGTCCAGAGCAACCATGATCCCTCCAAAACAGCCGAGGCAACCCAAGGGAGCTCTGGATGATGCCATTGCCTTCGGAGGGCTGGTAGACCAGGAGACAGTGAACAACTTGCAGCCAACCCCACCTCCACTGCCAAAGAAAACAATCCTGAGAGCTAACACGGAGCCGACTCCCAGAGATCTCCAGAAGCAGGCCCTGGAGAACAACCTGTGCATCATGGCCAATCCCACCTACGACATCGACACCAACTGGGAAGCGAGCAGCGCCTGCTCCTCCGTCAGCCTGGAGCTCAAGGTACTGGACAACGAGTCGGGAGATTCCTTGGACAGGCCTACGGAAAAACTGAGGGCAACCACGTCGGCCACGAACAGTGTTTCCAGCCTAACCACTATCAGTATTAAGGACCGGTGCTCCAACAGCATGGAGTCTCTGACGGGGAGACACCTCTCGCAGGCCAGGCAGGGCAGGGGGGTGCAGAAGCCGCAGAGACAAGCACTTTATCGCGGGATCGAAAACCGGGAGGAGGTGGTGGGTAAGATCCGAGGCCTCCACGCCGACTCCCTGAAGAAGCTGGCGCTGAAATGCGAGGACCTGTTCATGGCCGGGCAGAAGGACCAGCTGCGCTTCGGGGTGGACAGCTGGTCCGACTTCCGGCTGACCAGCGACAAGCCCTGCTGCGAGGCCGGCGACGCCGTCTACTACCCGGCTTCCTACGCCAAGGATCCGCTCAACAATTACGCAGTCAAGGTAAGAGGGGCCTGAGAAATGGTAACCCCGGGCATCAGTGACCAAATGTGACAACCACCACGCTCTGCACCACATCCAGTAGTGACGGGGCCTGCGAATACATGTGGGTGCTGCTGGCGGCAGCGCTGGGTGAGAAGTAGGTTGCCCAAAATACAGGCTCTTACTTCTTGGGGTTGGTCTCTTTTCCCAGGCAACGATCAGCAAGGCAAGAGGGCATGGTCTTAAGCTGTGCCAGGGGAGGTTTAGGTTGGATATTAGAAAGAATTTCTTTCCAGAGAGGGTAATCAGCCATTGGAATGGGCTGCCCAGGGAAGTGGGGGATTCTCCGTCCCTGGAGGTTTTTAAGATGAGACTGGATGTGGCATCAGTGCCATGGGCTGGGAACTGCAGCGGGGTTGGATCAAGGGTTGGACTTGATGATCTCGCAGGTCCCTTCCAACCCAGCTGATTCTATGATTCTATGATTCTGTCAAGAGCCAAGTGTGGCATTGGTATCTGCTGTTTAATTTCATGTTTTTACTGCGGTTCCAAAATTGCTGGAACAAAATAAACACATCTCGGTCTTTACCATTGTTCAATGACATTTTGAAAGAAAAGCTGAATTATTTTAACATGGGTCAAACTCACAGTGAAAAAATCCTTTTGATTCATCTGCATGGGGATGAACTTAAATCATCATTCTTAGTTAGGAAAGATTTCCTAAAAAACTGAAAAATTTCCATTTTCAGAGTTGTGTAATTCTAAGTGTAAATTCTAGGCTGATATATCTCCTGTGTTCCCATACAGGGTCTTACATTTTCACCAGTTTTCCTTACCAGCCTTTCAAAAGCTCTGTCTACAGCCATCAGTGTTGCCTTATAAATTCTTCAGCTAACACATTAAAGAAATAAAATTTACTAGATTTACTGCTAATATATTAATGCTTAGTTGGCAGCTGTCTCACTAGATGTTGTTACTTTATGGACTTTTATATAGGTAGTTCTTCCTGAGCACTGTATCTCTGCATTTCTCAATGCTTATCTGGTAGGAAGATAGTGAGAAGGACAGCTGAGACTCATAGCTCTGTCAGGCTTCCTGGGTGACCTTGAGTAAATCACCGAACTTCTGACTCCTCCTTGTTGAAACTGAGATAAAACATTTATTACCCGACAGGGATGTGTGAGGCCTGATGAGTTATTCCTTACAGAGCACGCTGACATTCTCACAAGGGTGGTGCTTTACAGGAACAAAATGTTGTTGCCACTCCTGCGTGCTTGTTTGCAAGTAAGATATGAAAAAATAAAAGGTAGGATTGGTGCAACTGATACGTTTTTCTGAAACTTGAAAAGGCATCTTTTTAAGGCAGATTTCTGGGCATAACCATTTATATTTTGGTAATTACTAAGGATCTCAAAAGATGTGAAATGAAACGTGGATGTCTTGTGGATGCCACTTGGTACAAAGTGGCCAAGAAAGAACCAGGCCATGAATGTGTCTCTGGCCATCAGCTCTGGCTGCAGAATCAGCACCCTGGCATTACTCATTACTGGCTTGGGTTGTTTTGTTTTAGTTCCAAATGGTTGTTTCTGGGGCCCAACGTGGTATTTTTCTCTAAAGGCAGGTTTGAGCTGTCACTAATGTGACACCTCTTTGCACATCACATTTGTGCCTTTAAAGCATTCCCTGACTGGCAAAACCTGTTGTTGTCCTCCTAAATATACACTTCCCCTGTAGAAAGCCAGTGAGAAGAAAGAACAGCAATGTAACATGGTCAAATAGGTGCTAAATTTTCCTTTTCATAATTCAGGTGTCTTAAAAATAGTTCTCAGACTAACAACATTTATTGCATGGTAGTAGATGTGAGTGAAGTGTCCACAGAATATCCTTGAGCTCAAGGTCACCGTGAGCTGTTGTGCTGTTACAAGGAGAGGAAAAGTTACTCTTGAAAATACCTTCCCAGGCACTTAATGTGATAGGGGAAGATGTTTGCCCCAGGTTGATCTTTTACTTACAAGCCATCAGTCCAGGCTCAGGTTTGTCCAAGAGCTCATAACAACAGATTGCTATGACATTACACAGAGATTTGGGGAATTTAGCTTTAACAAATACGCCAGTTTTTACTACCGTGGGTGTTTTTTTGTGTGAGCCAAATTACATCATAATCTACCTTCAATAAATCAGCCGTGTCTTCCTGCCGTTTGAAATCCCTCGTCCCCAAAACAGGATGGAAGAAAGAGTGAGATGAAAATTACCAATGTGCCTATTGAATCCAAAATATGGTCTTCCTGTTGTTTTGGATCAAGTCTTAGAAATGCATTTTGAAAGTGTACATGGAGCCACATCTTCAGGCGATGTGAATTTATGGAGCTCTTTTGAGTTTTGCAGAACTACCCAAGCAGCGCTGGCTAACAGTTCAGACAGTTCTTAAGTTCTGTGATTTTAATATTAGATCTGAGAAAAAATGTGATAATGAGATTTTATAATTATTATTCTCTTCATAGAAAATAAGAGATTGACCCCCAAACGGTGTTAATGGTCTTAATGCACAAATTTTTAAAAAATTTAATATTCTAGCTCCAAAAATAGAACTACAAAAGCACTGTTAAAAATTCAGCTTTAACCATTTGACTACTGCTGAGTTAAATTTAGAAGAATGAACATTTTGTGCAGATGAACTTTTATGTTCTGATGGTTTCACCAGCAAAAAAAGCTCTGATAAATTTGATGGAGAATGAGCACAACTTGTTCTGTTGGGGTGGATATTAGAGGAAATGTTTATAGGGGTGTGTTGTTTCACAACATTGTATAATGCTTTTTGCTTCACTCTCACATAATCTTCTCGTAAACACCCTGTGCAAAAACGTTGCAGGAGGCCATGTGGAAATTATTTTGACTGAAACATTATAAATAAAACCAGTACATAAGTTGTGATCAGAAAACTACTTTCTCAAACGGAAAAATAAAAGCTTCCTTACAAGGAAGGTTTCCAAAAAGTTCCAGACCCTGAGGTGGTTTTTTTTTCACTAAGTGCAGGACCACATCCTAAGTAGTTGGTGGATCTGGGACAATATGGATAAACATTCCCCTGAAACCACAGTCTTACCAGTAATTCCAAATATGTGGTGAAAAGGTTACACTAAAGTGAAAGCAGAGAGCAGCAGCCCTTTGCACACAGGAGACTGGGTGAGTTCAGCTCTGTGTCCCAGCGGGGACTGAATCAGGCAGTGATGTCACAGGGAGCATTTTATTAAAAAAAATATATATATATGACTCAGAATGAGTAATAGACGAGGTTATTATGTCAGTGACATAAACTACTTCCACTTTCAATATGAAACTCTCAGGGAAAACACTGTCCAGCATCCCAGCCCGACAGGTGATTCCGAGTCCCCAGGGAACAGCGGGGCCGTAAAACCCGCTGGGCTCGCCCTGGCCACGGGCACGTGGTGCAGTGCTGTTCGCTGGGATGGCAGGAATTGCAAGGGTGCAAACAGCTCAAAGGAGCAGTAAAAATTTATTGCTTTGATTGCTGCAGGGCAGGCAGAAGTTTTTCTAGCAGTAAAACCTGAGGATTTCTTGTAAGGCTCCTGTCCCAGCTGTAAAACGGAGCAATGCAGAAGTGAGCAGTGCTGGGCTGAGCCTGGCTGACAGTTTCCCGGTTGCAGCTGACGATTATTTTCTAGTTATGTTTAGTTTGTCACAGTGTGCTGAGGTGTTTTTTTTTTTTTGGTAATTTAGTTTCCTAGTGGAGCTTCTTGACAGAAGTGTTATTTAAGGTCATCCCAGAACTTCATGCCTCAGATCAGAATAAAATGTACATTCAACTTCGAGCCCATTCAGAGTTCAGTCACGGCAGAATAGAATTCTGTATTTTGGCACATCGTTAAAAAGTCAGAGCTCTATTCCAAGGCCAGATCAAGAAAATGAGGTCAATCAGATATCAAACTGGCCTCCTTGGAAAACAAGGTTGTGCCAAGAATAAGCTATCAATTTGGGATTAGCAAGCTTTCATTCTACACAGAATTTCATTTGCAGTTGTCCCTCTGTGCAATACAACAAAGTAGCACAGATGGTGCAGTCTTTGTGATCTTCTGTGTTTCTCATTTTCAGCACTTGTAAATTCATTTCCCACAATATTCATCGTGCTTTAAGTTCACTGATGCCCTGTAAAATGCATAGGACAGAGTGGAAATGAGATTCCCTGCTGGGGAAGTGAAAGTCAGCTGATGGCACAGTAGGCTACGGGACTCATAAAGGAAAAATAAAAGCTAATGCAGAACAGTTTGTAGAAGCTCTGAAACATCCAAATCCTGCTTCTTGGGCTGGGAGCAGGGGGGAAAATTGAAATGGCAGGATGTAAAGAAACCTGCCCTGTCGCTGTAAACGTGACAGAAGTTTAGTTCCTGTGGATACATTAAAGATGCATGATGACAGTGCATTCCAGAGAGAAGGAAGGTGGATACTTTCCATTCCTTCCTACTTGTACTTCTTTTTTCTCATGGCTTTCTTGCTTCATAAGGAAGGGCTTTTTACCAGCATTGCTTCATCTTTTGAACAACCAGCTCTTTATCAGCTCTAGAAATAAGGCTGGCCAAGCCCTTATCAACAGCTTCCTCTCAGCTGTTATCACATACCATATCTCCACAGCTCAGCTGGATGGAGCTCGTTAAAGCAAAGGGTAAAGGACTGATTGATCCTACTTTCTGTGGGTGTTAGATATTTTCACCTTTTTTTCCTCTGCCAAAAAATAGGTGTTCAAAACATATTATGTATGTAAAAGGCAACAGGATTTCCATATTTTTTGAGTAGACAAATGGAAGAGACAAAAGCTTTAAAAATGCAAAGGAAGCTGAGCTGTACATTTATTCACAGCTTTGACACAGCATTTAACCTCACAAATAGAAAAGCAGCTCTGGGTGCACTCTTTAGCAGTGCATCACAAGCAGTTGAAAGCACTTGTTAGGAAGGCCATCAAATGTCACAACTTGTTCCCTAAATCTTTTCAAATGTAAGTCCAGACTTTGGCCCCATAACTTCCTCTAACTCAAACCATTTTGACACTTATAAATCTTGGTCATTCAGGTGATAGTTTGAGGTGATAGTGGCGTTATTCCAATACGAAATGCTCGGGTGAGAATGATTAGCCATTGATAGTATTAAACACTAGTATTCACTACTGCATTGCAAAATGGTAATATAAAATAGAGTTCCAAGTAAAAACTGCAACTCAGAAAATGATAGCATAGTACAGGAAATAAATGAAATTTGAATTCTATAAACCATCTTTGAACAGATCAATAAGAAAACTAAGTTTGTCTCCTGCTTTCAGTACATTTTCCCCATTCTAACAAGATATTTGTAAATCAGAATGTGAACACTGCAGTATAAAACCCCAGGATGTACCTGAAGAGTACCCTCTTACAGGGACATCAGATTACTGCAGGTCTGTCTTCTAGAAACTGCCTTATGAATTCAGGCAGGTGTCTGATTTGTTATTACACCCCAGGTTTGGGGGCTGCCTCCAGACAGCCCAGCTTTCCCTTCCCCTTGGCGATTACAGAGTGCCTGGTGTACCAGTTTTGGTGTTTGTGTAGTCAGCAGTTTAATCAGCCTGAAATAGCCCAGCTGCCTCCTCCGCTTCTCACTTCATGGTGTTTGTAAACAAAAGGCAAGAAGCAGAAAATACATCTCTCATCACATCTCAGCTCTCTGTGTAGATACTGCATCCACGTTTGTGCACCCATCTACTTCTCTGTATGAAACAAGAGAAGGAAAAAGTGTCCAAAAGCCATCACCACTGGGCATTTGTGGGATTAGATTTTTTTTTCCCCTGTATTGGTTATATTCCTTAACAGCAGAATAAGGAGGGAAAAACTTTTCATGAATGCAATCATTTTAGTATTGGTTTTAATCATAATATTATTTAGTATTTAATTTCTGGTTTGTTGATAATTTAAATTGTGTTTTATTGATATAAAGAGAAGAGTCTGAAACAAAAACATCTTTAAGAACTGATATTGGGGAAGGTTTGTCCCTGCTGTGGCTTCAGACTGCAGAGTGGACACTGCTCGTGAACAGGGGAGTTAATGGAACTTCTTGTCCTGGGAAGTGTTCCAAGGATCATTATATATACAGAGCTCAGCTCTGCTTGCTGCTGGAAAGGTCTTAACTCGGAATATTATATTCATTATACCACTCTTCAGAAAGATGTCATAAATGGGGAGAATCCAGAAAAGAGCACCAATAATCAGAGGATTAGGAATAAAGGCAGGAGAAGTAAGGGCTGGGTTTTCTCAGAAAGAAAGCAAAGAGGAGGGGGAAAGTTCCACCTTCCCCAGCTGTAAAGGTGTAACGTTCAAGGGTGGGAATGGGGGATCAGTTTTTATTCAATCAGAGGGGAGAAGGGCTGTGACTTTAATGTGAAGTAAAATAGATTTAGTATTGAATAGCAGGAAGAAAGGCAAAGAGGATAGAAAGGCATAACTCTGTTTTGGGGTGGGTTTAGCAGACTGGAGAGGCGTTTCTTAGGAGTGATGCAGCTGACAACACAGAGCTGGGGTTTGCCTTGCAGGCCAGTGGGAGTGGCTCAGGAACAGGGAATGGGCACAGCAGAGGCATCAGGAACAGGGAATGGGCACAGCAGAGGCATCAGGAACAGGGAATGGGCACAGCAGAGGCATCAGGAAAAGGGAATGGGCACAGCAGAGGCATCAGGAACAGGGAATGGGCACAGCAGAGGCAGTGCCCTCTGCCCCAGAGCTGAGTGCCTTTGGTGCAGAGGGCACAGCCAGGCAGTGCCACAGGGGAGGGAAGTGTTACCACAGCCCCAGAGGGTGGGTGCAGGTTCCTTTCCTCTCTCACAATTCTGGGATTGGCCGTATTTTCTGAAATGAGCGATCCAAGGCTGACTTTGGGAGGTGCAGAGCCCATCCCCAACTTTAACTGAAATGCCAGGAGTAAATCTGAGAACCTCCTCTGAAGGAAGCAGGAAAGAGAGGCTGACTAGGCCTAAAATTAGAAACTAGGAAAAAGTCTCAATTCCTTTGCTTTTCTTTTTCTGTAGGCAAGGAGAAATCCTTTCCATAAGCTTTAAAAAAGGCCTTGTATTCACCAAATTGAGAAGTGTATGTTGTTTTCAGAGCAAATACTTTTGTGGATTATATATTCCTAATAGAATATTAGTTTTAGCTGGCAGGTGGCATTAGAAATCCTCTGTGGATCAAATATAGTGCAGTAGCTGAAGCCAAGTGTGGTTTTCAACTGTTTTTATCAGCAAGTAAGCTTGACCTTAAAATTAAACTCTTTCAGAACAAGTTTATTTTTTTTATTAGGTCAGTTAAGTATTTTTAAAAACTAAAGGTTGGATTACAACACACTGAACCCTTTCTGCAGTTGGAATTGATTGTCCCCATGGCTGGCTACAAGAAAAAGGCCATGGACTTGAAGGGCATAGAAGACAAAACTTTTTGTTTTCCTTAATAGCTCTTCTTGCAGATTTGATGTACACAATGTGTGTATACACAACACATATATATGGGTCTGTGCAACTTTTCTAGTTCTGTTTTCTGTGCAGTATTAAGTATTTAATCAATCAGGGGCCTTCAGTCTCAAACACAATCAGCTGGCACTTTCTTTTCATATATAATTCAAAGGTTATTGTTTTATTAAAGGTTATTGCTATATCTTTGCTGTATTTTTTTAAGCTTTTGTAACCCTCGAGAGAAGGGGGGGCAGGAGCAAATGCATTCCATTGACAACTCACTTCACCTCTAACGGGATAAATTACATTTGAAAATTTAAATGAGCAAGAGCCACTGTATAAACAGGGTAACTGTCAACATTTCCAGAAAATTGCTTTCCTCTCTTAAATAAAATTGACTAGAAAATGCATTTTTCAAACCTGCTTTGCTTGTGCATGGCAGTTATAAACAGGCAGTTTAAGTTATATTTGCATAATAGGGAAATGTAAGTGCTTGTGAGGTATGGAAATATGCACAGTGTCGAAGACAGGAGGACAATCAAAATGCTGGTACAGCTTGTGTCCACTTCCATATGATCTGACAATGCACTTTTCTGATCAACAAGCATAGAAGATTAAATCCCTAATTTGTTTCTTAACATATAGTTGTTATAATTACGTTTCTTAACCACATAATCATATCAAAGATAAAAAACTTGTGTGTGTTAGTGAAAAGCAGGTTTATAACTTACCCTGCAGAAGTCCTGACTTTTACTAACCTTAGTTATCTCAGCTTTCAGAGGTGAGCTGAGGGAAGCTGTAACTTCATCTGGACACAGATGTCTTCTCTCTTGTCTGAGCTTTGCAGTTAAGACCTGTACATTATGTAGCAAGTGAATATTTGGACACTTAACCGTGTAAAGATTAAAACATACACTTAACCTTACATGCTTTGAATGATCTCTCTGAATTCAGTAGAACTAAGGTTAATATGCAAATATCAGCATGCCTGAGTCTTTGTCATTTTAATCAGTAAATGCCTTAGAACACAGGCCCTAATGGGGCTTGTCCAGTGACTGTTGTCAGGGGGTTGGAACTGCCAGTTGTTATGGCAGTGCAGACAATTAATAAGGATAATTATTATGGTGATAATGTGTATATCAACAAGATATTACTGGGCATAAATTAAATACAGCTGCACAGAACCCCCAAACATATACTTGGGATCTTGACAGATGACTGAAAGCAGTTAAGGTACCCTGTTCTAAGGAGTGTCCATCCCTCACCTGAGCCACAGCCAAGCACAGCTGCCAGCAGCCTGTGCCATGACACACCCTCCCCTCGCTGCAGACATGGCACTGCTGCAGCTCATGGATTGAATTTCCAGTATCCAGTCCTGGAGCTGACAGGCTGTAACTTGTCATGCTGTGCTGACTGGGCCACTTGCAAGCGTTTGGTCACACACTCTGTGCATGTTTCTTTGTCTCTTCTATTGTTGTTGATTATTTTTGTCTTGTTCAAGCTTCACTTAAAGCTGAGAGAAGAACATGCAAGAAAATGATATGGATAATCAAGTAACTGTGAATATGCTTCACTGTGCATTGGCCATATATTGCTGCTACTCTGATTAAAAACCAGACTGTATTTTCCATTGGATAATCTATGCAGAGGGAGAGGTGCCTGCATGTATTGCTCTGCAGTTGCTTACTAGCCAATGGAAACAGTTTGGGTGCCTTAAGATTGTCTGCCAAGGTCGGTTCAGTAAAGAATTTTTTATTGCTCGTGTTTAGGTCTAGTCTGTAGATCCCATCAACAAAATACATATTTATAAAAAGGATGCAGAATTTAGAAATCTAAGAGTTATGTCTGTTTACTTTCCTCCCCCAGATTTGTAAGAGCAAAGCAAAGGAGTCCCAGCAGTATTATCACAGCCTGTCTATCCGGCAGAGCCTGGCCATCAACTTCAACATCCAGCAGGACTGTGGCCATTTCCTGGCTGAAGTGCCAGTTCGACTCCTGCCGTGGGAGGACGATGACGCGCCCGACGCGGAAGAAGAAGAAGACCGGGAGGAAGAGGAGAAAGAACCTGAGCAGAAGAACAGAGACACGGCTTCCAGTGCGGAGGCTGCAGCCAGAGAGGGCTCCAGCAGGCCGGGGACCATGAGCCGGCCCCGCAGCCGTGTGGTGGTGATCACGCGGGAGGTGCCACACCTGACCGTGGCCGACTTCGTGCGCGAGTCCGAGCCCCGCCACGCCAAGAGCCCCGACCTGTACGAGAGGCAGGTCTGTCTGCTCCTCCTGCAGCTGTGTTTGGGCCTGGAGCACCTGAAGCCATATCACATCACACACTGTGATCTGCGCTTGGAGAACCTGCTGCTGGTTCACTCCAGACCGGGAGGCAGCCCCCTGAGCCCCGAGTCCATGGAGCACGGTCCCAACACCGCCTGCCCAGCCAGGCTCATAGTGAGCAATTTCTCCCAGGCCAAGCAGAAGAGTCACATGGTGGATCCAGAGGTCCTACGGGATCAGTCCCGCCTGGCTCCAGAAATCATCACGGCGACACAGTACAAAAAGTGTGATGAGTTCCAGACTGGCATCCTCATCTATGAAATGCTGCACTTACCCAACCCCTTCGATGAGAATCCAGAGCTGAAAGAGAAGGAGTACACTCGTGCTGACCTCCCGAAGATTCCTTGCCGTTCCCTTTACTCTCAAGGGCTTCAACAACTTGCCAGCTGCCTGCTGAATCCCAACCCTTCAGAGAGGATCCTGATATCAGAAGCCAAGGGAATCCTTCAGTGTTTGCTTTGGGGTCCACGTGAGGACTTGTTCCATGCTCTGAGTACCTCTTCCAACCCCTCGCGGAGAGATGCTATACTTCAGAACTGGCTGGACATAAAAAGGACGCTGCTGATGATCAAGTTTGCAGAGAAGTCCTTGGAGAGGGACTGTGGAATTATTCTGGAAGACTGGCTTTGTTGTCAGTATCTGGCTTTTGCCACTACGGACTCACTTCATCGCATTGTGAGAATCATGAAGCAGCACTAGTTTGTAGAGCCTGTTGCTTTTCATGAAGCACCCTCACCTCTGCCCCTGCCCTCACTCCAGCCTGCACTAGGGCTCACATTTTGTACAAGTGTTAAAAACAGCCTAGATATCAAAGCCAGCAACTCTGAGCAAATAGGTTCTCATTGGAGAAATTGCATCCTGTCCCCAGTCTGACAGAAACTTTACTTTTTTTGCCGGGCCCGTTAGGGATTGTTTATATGTGCATGACTGCATTTGGATCAGACAGTACGTGACTTGATTCATATCTGGCAGAAAAGGAGAGCAAACTTTGATACCACTATTTCTACCACTGCAGTAAACAAATTGCCCTCCTGTTCTGGGTAGTTTCTGTCATTTCCTGTGTAGCACTGGTTAGTGAATAGCAGTGACCATCAGCAGAGATGGATTAGTTGTAAATGTGAGATGAATGATCCACCGTGCCACAAAACACTCATTTGCTTCCATTCCACACACCACACAAAATTTCTTCTCAGCTTAATCAGTCCCCCACAGGTGGGCTGTGCTCCTCTTTCCTTTGGTCTCAACCACAGACTTTGCTGTATTTTCCTCCCCAGCTGTGTTTTTCCTGCTGACTGTGGCAAGTGTCAGTGAGCATCTGTGTTCAGTCCCCTTCCCTCCTCCTCTGCCTCACTGCCTACCCATATCCTCTCTACCCATGGATCCATGAGTTCAACAACGCTGCCTTAACCAGACCATTACCCTTAGCTTATGACCTCTGCATTAAAAAGCAGAATATGCACACTTTGTCCCGTTTCCCAGGTGCCATTCACCAGTCTGGACTGTTGATGTACTGTAGCCATAACTGCATTTATACAAGAACAAGACAATGGTGGGCCACTGAAATTCCCCCTCCATCACAAAAGGCACTAAAGCCTGACTTGAAATGGATAGGACATACATAACCTTCTCTGACAATCACTGCTATGAATCGAGGATGAAAATAACAGCCACCTCTTCTGTTTTATTTTGGTCTGCTCTTGTCACTCGGGCCATACTGCAAAATGGGACTGAAATTGGCTCTGCTGGTTTGTTGGCAGGAGATAGAAATGTTTAAAGCTTGTCTGTGTGTAGCTAAGAGGCCACATGGAGACACTTCTACTGCAGACGTAGTTCTCTGAAGGGTAAAACCAAGGGGGCAAAAAAACTGTTGTTTAATTATTGAGAGCTGTTAAGTTTGGCAGCCACAGCTGACAGTATCATGGTCCATGTTCCCCACAGGGGTCTCTGGCTGCCTGTATCTTGTCTGTTGTAACTATTGTTTTCTAATGTTGCAACAGACACCCCAAAAATGGAATGTTGTCAGAAGAGCTCAAAGAGCTCCACAGACAGAGTTTTGGATGAGAGGAGGAATTAGTGGGGATTAAAGAGTCAGAATTTCTAAAAACTCAACCTGAAGGAGCTTTTTCACTTTTAGAGGCCACTGCTGACTCCCTTCCGTGCCCTGACAGCCATTTCCCATGGAACCTATGCAGTTGTACAGACAATACCTTTGCTCAGTATTGCCAGGCTATGAGTTGTTTCCTGAATCACTCTGAAGAACTGATCTGGATGCAGGGAAAAAAGTGATCCTGAATATTCTGACCCAGGTGATGGAAAGCAGACAGCCCTAGTTATGAGCCTGTGCTTCTCTCCTATGGATCTATGTGCAATTCTTGTATTATTTTTTAAAGCTGTACATTACAGTGTTCACTTTACACACCAGCCTTTACCTGATGCTAGATCTGCAGCCCCTTCCTTTACTTTCCTGGCACATAAATGCACAGATATCCATGTGTTCTTTTTTTTTATGGATTGATGTTTCATTTTAATTGTTAAAACTGTGAGGAATCCATTCACTTCAGCCTTGAAACAAATAGCCACTTTATACAGCATATGCATGCTTGGACCAGATGCATGGAAACCGAACAAACAGTCCTGCAGGCTCAAAGTCAGCAAAGCTAGCTCTGGATCCACACAGTACCTTGGAGGGGCTGACATGTCTATCTTGCTCTTCTCTGGCATCTCTCAGAGCTCAGCTGAAGGGCGTGTGGAAGCCTACATCGATTGTGCTGTAGTATAGACTGTCTTTGTGACCTTCCTGGAGATTTTTTGAAACTTCTGATGATTATTCTGTTGTTTGATTCACCTGTATCAGTGAAGGATCAGGCAAGGATAAGGATAATATATTTTAGTGTGATATATTTTTTGTTTCTTTCTCTTTTTTGCAAAAAGGTTAGGATGGCGGCATTGATGCAGAAAAAAACAGGACAGTGCATTAAAAGCCCAAGTGCAATGTGTGTAGTTGAGGTACCTCCACTACATCAGGAAAGAAAGTTTCTACACTACTGCTGAGCAGCTCGTAGAAGAACCTTTACAAAGAATCCCACGTTGGGTGCAGCCCTGCTTGCTCTGGACACGGGAGGGCAACGCTCTCGTAGGTTAACACGGCGAGCACGGCAAGGCACTCGTGTGCTCTCTAGTCGCCGTTAGTCAGTGCGTGAGCTGCGAGTAGGGCTTTTGTTCCCTGTGCTCTGTGTTGTGTTTGTTCCGTGCTGTGTGTGTGTGTGCACCCGCCCTCCCAGCCCCCCTGGACAGGAGCCTGGCCCCCCTCGCCACTGCAGCGATCCCCTGGAGCCGGCGGGTGTTCCCGCGTTTACGGACCCGCGTTCTCGGTGTCCCCCCGCGTCAACGTGCACATGCCAAGCTGAATTTTGAATGTTCTCCCACCGTTGGTGTTAATGCAGCTGGTCCGATGCCTTTGTATCTCTAGCTCTCGAATTTCAGTTTGTATCTGTTGTGATGAACCAGTACTCATTTTAGCTCTGCAGTATAATCAAGCATGGATAGATGTTCACTACCAATCTCTTTCTTGTGCAGCACTGGGTAAACTTTAGCAATTTGTAATGTTGTGTGGTCTTTTTCTTTAAAAAAGAAAGAATGGTCAATGTAGTCAAACCTGATCTGGCCTGAGCTCTCCCTCGAGGAGCCTGAGGCTGACTTTGCAGATCTGCCCATAGCTGATGATTGTAACTTGTGTTTGTGGTGGTTCTCCATCCTGGCACCAGACTGTGCCACGTAAATATACAGGAATGTATGCATTAAACTGATTGTAAGCAAATCCTAAGAATGCTACAGCATAATTGCTAAGCAAAAGGAAAAAAACCCGCTCTGTTTGCAACAGGATCCTGTGTATGACAGGAACAAAACCCCTGGCTGTGCATGTTAGAACTTACTTGAATATGTGCACAGATCTTGAATTTTTTTTTAGCAATGTCGCACTTTCAGTTGAGCTCAAGAAATAGGAAGAGCTGCAAATCTAAGATAACAGTATTGACTGTAAATATATATTTTTCTATTAATAAAAGCTGTCATTCAAATATTTTTAACATGAACTCTAAAGATTTTTCCAGTGCAAACTAATTTCTGGGAAAATCAAATGCTTGTTTGAAGAATTATGATGAGTGGTTTCTGATCCTATTAGAGCCATTAAAACCCTCTCTAATGTTACAGAGAGAGCACAGTGATTGGATTCACAATGTTTAGTGCCTTGTCAAAAACCTGAAATGTAGCTGGTCAGTTGGTGGGAATCTTACTCTTTTCATAACAGCCCTAGAAATAATCCTGCCCACATAAAGATGCAAAATACTTTGCAAAATTAAATGCTGTACTTCATAAGAGACTGGGTTGATCTGTTCCATGAGATTTGTGTTCGGGGTTTATGTGACTGGGTCCCTTTAGGTTGCTTGTAGTACAGCATAAACCTGAAGTGACAAAACTGTGGGCTTTCAAATTTGGGATCTGCACAGGGAGAGTAACAGTGGATAACAAGTCAGTTGGTCTGGACTGACCAGGCATTGAGAGAAGCCTTTTGCTTTGACAATCTGCTGCAGACACTCTGCTGTGGGAAGGGGAGGAATTAGTGTGGGAGAAGCGGTGAAGGTGAGATGTGCTGCTCCTGCTGTAGGCAGGACACAACCTCTGTTCCAACAGGAGTGCTGAAAAAACTACTCTGAGATGTTATGGAAAATGGGTTAGGTTTGTATTCCTTAAGTGGGAATGACTTATTCACTAATTACCTGTCAAACCTCAGATCTGATCTGGTCAATATGCATAACCAGGTGAATATAAAGAGAATCTACTAGTAAAAGCTTGCCTACAAATTTTCAGGAATGAGGGAATCCAGAAGTTTCTTCTGGAGCCCCTGGAATGTCCAAACATAGAAGCCTGGTCTCACTTCCACATTCAGACCTGATGAAACCAGTAACTCCAGCTGGGATAGCACGTTACTGGTGCACAGATGAAAATGCACGGGAGCGTTTACAGGAATGTTCCACCTTAAATCTTTTCTGCTCCACACATCCCAGCAGCACCCACAAGGTAGGAATGGATCACCTTGACATGTTAACACAAGGGAATTCCCACGTGTTACAGAGAAAAATATACTATTTAAGTAAGTTATGTGTTAGGGTTCAGCTATGTAGAGAATTTATTCAGCAGCTTCACACTGTAGGTCCTTAATTTTAACATGTATTTGCTGCTGAAATAAAATGTAACTGTTTCTCATGTCCCATCTAAATTAACTTTTTTTTGTTTGTAATAGCAAGTAAATCCATATGTAAATATATATGAAATAGTCCTATTTTTATTTAAATCAATTTTAACTTTTCTGAGGGATACAGTAGAAACTGAGTCAGAGCTTTTAATGCACTTTCTTTTCCCCCTTTCCCCAAATTGCCTGTTTGTTCCTCTGTGCAAACAGTACTTGGCCATTATTCCCTGCCTGACTAGACCATCAGTTTTACTCTGATTCTGCAGAGGTGGTGTTGGTTCTGCTAAAACTCCTGTAAAACCCAGAGCACAGTCAGAGCCCTTCAGTCAGCGCAGAGAGGGACGTGATGGTGATTCAGTTATTCAGTGAGGTAACATCGAAGAAGTGCAGAATAGAATTTTAAATACCTCTTTAAAATACACCTGTGGAAATAAGTCTGTAAACAATCATCTGGATTCCAAACACTTCAACAGAAGAATACACAAAAACTACTTTTTTTCCAAAAGAAACACTGGAGAGAAATTTCCTTAGGGCACCCTCAACTCCAAAAGGAGGAGCAAGTCCTTCTCCCTGCTGTGTTGCAGAGAATTTCTAGTAGACATTTGTATGGATTTTATTATTCACCTGGATGCAGTATTAGAAAGATGGGGATTTGGAGTGGCTGTAGAATGTAATTTAAATAACTTCCTAAAGGTCTCCTTGCATTGGTGCTCCACTCAGCATTTACTTGGAAACCACAGAATGCTCTCAGATCAAGCAGAGTTGCCAGTGAGAAATGAAATATTTCACTTACCTGTACATAAGTGTTTTACCACTCTACAGAATTTGAGAATTTGGTTTGTACTTCAGACTATAAAGATATTTTTTTTCCATAAATCCAAGGGGAAGATTTCAGGGATTTAGAAGAGGTTGGAGCTTTTTTATATGGAGGGAATATTTGTTCATAAATATATATATATATACATACATATATATATGAGTGCATGTGGGCATGTTTTAATATATATATGTATGTATATAAATTTTGTATCCCAGAAGTATTCTTTGCCCCTTTTTGCTTGAAAATATATATATTATATATTGTATATATAATATATATTTAAGAGTGTGTAAATTTTTCAATAGTCATTTCATAAATAACACCTCTTCAAAAATGACTCAAAACTTCTGTTTCCTTGTCCTTTGACTTGTTGGTATGAGAAGGTTTTGCAGTTGAAATCCTTGGGTTTTTTTCTTTTAAAACTTAATTATGCTGAGCATTTAAGATTATGTTCTTGTTTTTAATAAAAGGGGGAAATTTATTTTTAAATTAGGGATTCCAGAATCAATGGACTTTTTTAAATGGGATTTCTTTAAATGCCTTGAATAAGGGAATTTTTTTTTTTTTCAATTTCAGCTCAATTCTTGTGGGTAATTTGTATTTGGAATTCCTGGTTGCATTGCTTTATCTGGTGCTTCATATTGATATTTACACATTTTTATATCAATAAGTATATAAACTTCAAGCCTTCCTTTGTGATCAGGGGCAGTTACACTCTGGTTTGCTGTGGTACTTTGCTGTGTACTCTGTGGCATTCATGTTACTGTGTATATAAACTAGTTTTATTACACTCAAATCAAACTTGCAGTTGTCTAATTTTTCTCTCTTCCTAGACAGAGTGTGTATTTCTGAGGACATTGCACGTGGCAAGTCCAGCAAAGGATTTTATTTTGAGAATAGCTGGGGGGGGGGTGCAACAGCACCAGCGTGCAGGCGTGGCAGGGACACACTTGGCTTGGTGAGGCTGATGCTCAGCACTCCAGCCCTGCCACCACAGAGCTCAGGTATCCCAGCCACGGGAATTCCAGTGCTTGGGACACCGTGCCACCTCCCACCTCTGGTGTTTTCCCCCAGCAGTCCCACCACAGCTGGCTGCATCTGGACAAGTGGCAGCAGCAGCAGCCCAAAACTATTTCAGCTCCATCTGGACAAGTGGCAGCAGCAGCAGCCCAAAACTAAACTGGCCACCAGCAGCTGCTGGTGACTGAACCAGTGCCTTGCAAGGCCTTCCTGGAGAGGAGTGACCTGGAGATGAAAACGGCCACTCTGGGACAGCCCTGAGCACGAAGGGAGCTGGGCCAAAGTCAGCCATTTCCCTAGTCTGGACAGGGCTTAAATGACCTGCTGTGAAGGATTAAAATTGCTCTTAAGTCAGATTTTTCTGTGCCGTGACAGAGCAGGATGTCTCTAAGGCAGTCAGTTGTCTGCTGTGGAATTCATTGCGTCTGTTCTGTTACCTTGAAGCATCCAACCTGATGGAGGGTCTGTGGGAAACAGATGGGATAATGTGCATCTTCCACAGTCGTGCAGACACACTTCAGTGGCACCGAGATCAAACAGCTCAATTTTGTCCCCGGCTCTGACAGGCAGCACTGGTGGCTGCAGATGCTAATTTATTAGCATGGAACAGATGACACGTGTACATCGGAGCAGCACTGTGCTTCTGCGAGACAGACAGTCCCACTGCTCACAAATACTCTTTAAAAAAACCCAAGCTGAGAAAACACCCTGCGGGCTCTGTTCTTTGCACAGTTACAGTGGCTTTGCACAGGTATGTCATCGGTTGCAATGATCAGAATTAGTCTCAAGTGTAACTACTACAGGCCATTCATATTTATTCCTTAGACACCGTTTCAAAGCCTTTCAGAAACAGTTTAAGTGTTTGTCTTCATCCCTTCGAAAAAAACAAAGCTAGCTGACTCCAGAGGTGTCAGTAAATATGCAACGTGTTTAACAGCCTGACAGATATTTTGGCTTTGCCACAGTAATCCCTGTTGACTTCAACAAAGTGCCACGGACTTAACTAAGCAAGAGTTGGATTATGCCATTTGTCAGTGGCAATCACCACTCTGCAGGGAAAAGATACGCAAAAATAAGCTGAAACCTTGTCAAGACATGATAATTATACTAGTTTAACTAAAATCTGTTTGAAATTAATTTAGATACGTTAGCACAAACTCTCTTGTGGGTGTCCTTAAGCAGTCGCAGTCTGGCGTTCTCATTTCATTGTGCCAGACATGAACGCAGGTGGAGCAGATGCCTGGTTTTGGTTGATGCAGGAATGTCTGTATCCATTTTTCACCAGCTCAGAAATTCACCCTGTGGTAGAGAGGCCCCAAGGAACTGTGTTCCTCTATGTGATAAACCTCCATGTGTCCCTTGAGCTCTGCAGGCCACTGGTTTTGCCCAAGTTGATGAGCTTCCTGTATGAATCACACCGTCCTCCTTACCCAGCGGTGCTTTAACCGGGCTCAGAGGGGAGCAGCTCACAAGGCAGATTCTTCAAGTGAAATGTTTGCCACAACCTATTCCTCAGAGGGAGGCTGAGGCTTTCAATTCTGAGGTAAGACAGCTCTGTGGAGAAAGACACTCATTAAAACACCACTTTGGGCCTTCAAATCCACCTCACTTGGTGCTGCTGCTCCAGTCTCAGGAGACAGCACCAGAGCCTCGTGCCCAGGCCACCCCTCTGCAAGGGGGGGGGAAGGCTTCTGTTATCAGTTCAGTGCTTTCAGATGAGCAGAAAGTCCCTGTCTGGCAAACAGATGCTGGGGGAGCCAAAGGAGGGCAGCCTGGAGGCCCCGAAGCAGAGAACTTGAAATAATAGCTACTGAAGGTGCATTTTCTGTTACATCTCCTGCTCTCTGTTACACCTCTCCTGACCCTTTGTTTTGCTGTCATTAAGGTGTTATTTTTGTTAAATTGCAGCTGGCAGAGTCAGGACATGCACAGAAGCAAGCATTGGATGTAATAGGCAGTAATTCAAGGAAAAATCACAAAACTCTACTTCTTATCCTGCAGAAGGAGAAGGAATGGGAATGGGGAGGCTTATTGAGAAGGTTTGCTCTTTTTGGTACGAGCCAGGAGCCCTTGTTCAACAAATACATGGAAAGCTGCTTTCTCCAGCTGTTGCCTGGTGTTTTACAGGTGCTGGGATGACCCCGTACTCCCCTGCACACAGGACAGCCCCAGGGACAGCACCTGTGTGCAGCAGGGCTGGGGACAGTTACAGATCTGATGTCAGATGCCAGGTTTTGCCTGATTTCATTGGAGTCTTAATGGTCCAGATAAACTGCAGTGAATAGCAGATTAACCTTGAAAAAAATGAAATCCCTGCAGTCTACCTGTAAGAAGCAATCTATTAACTTTGCACCTCTCCAAAGTGCAAAAGGACATAAAAGTTCTTCTAAAGAAAATGAAGAATTAAATCAAGATAATAAAATTCTCCTGGTTCCTACGTGGGCACTAAATTTAAATCAAGCTACTGTTGGAAATGGGCCAATAGTTTGCCCATGTACAGCCACCACTACAACCACCAAAAGAAAAGGAACACCCCATAACCTGTGAGCCAGTCATGCAGCTGCACTTGGCCAGGGAAGAAAGTCTCCTTCCAAACTTTTTTCCACTTATATTACTGGAAAAAAAAGTTTCATACTCTGCCATATTAATACTCCATCTTCTGTATTTGTGTTTGTGTGGGGTTACTGCTGGGGCTGTGACCACAGGACACCAGGGCGTGTTCCAGCCTCAAGAAGGAGCAGCAGGATGTCAGATGATGTTGTGGGATACCACATGACCAATGTTTTAATGACATTAGTTATGAATGTTTTAATACCATCCTCTGCTTCCTAAAACCCAGGCCCAGAGCGTCACCATCCCCAGCCCTCTGGCAGCAGTGAACTGCTCCCACCATTTCCCTGGGGCTGGAAGCATTTCCCACCTTGGAGGCTTCAACATCCCCTTCCACAGGAACTGCAGCACAGTCCTGCTCTCTTCCTTGCTAAGGCCTTTTTTGTGGTGTGTTTTTGAGGTGATGTGGCTCAAACTGAGGGATTAGGAGTAAGGGTATCAGTATTCTGTAGAAATGTCAGAAGGTATTTCACCTCCAGCCCATAAGCACCCTAATTGCTTGTCCTGGGTAGGCATCTCCATGCCTGGACTCTTGACTTTTGAAAATTCTGGATGTTCCATTAGACTACTTAGGTTTGGGGTGGTTTTTTTTTAGGAATTAGTCCATGTTCATCCAACTCAACATTTCCTTTGCTGGGTTTTTTTCTGGGATTTTTTTAATAATTCAAATCCATCTGGAGTCTTTTACAACCTTCTGCAATTTATGCTAGTCTTGAATAGATTTCACTTTGTGATTAATCACTTCTTCCTGCAAATCAGGAAGACTGGAAACATTGAACTAAGACTTGTTCTTGGACACAGCTGTCTTGTCTTCCCTAAAGAATCTGTACTTGCTACATTAGTTTTGTTCTATGTTCACAATTAAAAGGGTTTTCTTTTTCTCCACTCACCAGAAGTAAAATAAAAATACAGTATGAGTTTTGTGCTGATCCTAAAGCACTTTACAAGGAGAGCATAATTCCTGTGTTACAGATCCAGGAACTGATGGACAGCATGGCAAAGGAATGTGGAAGAAGGACACAGGAAGCCATTTGAGGGGAATAGTATGTAAGGATCCAGGGCCCATTCAACTAAACCATCTCCTACAGTGCTTCTACTTACATGCTGCTCCCCACTGACTCACAACTATTCACCATGACTTGAGAGCCTCCATCAGTTAAATCTATTGCAGCAGGATTTTTATAGAATTATAAATTTGTTTTGTCAGTTTTAGCAATAGTTGCTGGAACACAAAAGTAACAAGATTACAGTCTCAAAAGAAAGGAATTCAAAGCTGTACCACTGGAGTACCAGGTCAAGCCACTCTGACATCCATTTCAGCTGCAGTATACATTTGAGATTTGTATCCTCTGTCACTTCACCATCCTCTTTTGTCTCCAGTGAGGCTTCAATACCTCTGTTTTGCAAGAGGCAACTCTGTCTTGGAGCATCTTTCCCACCTGGACCAGGTAGTTCCTGGGCATTGCTGAGCAGCCTTTCTTTTGAGGAGGTCATGGGCAATGAGCCTCATTAACATGAACAGGAGTCCAGTGGTCAACTGCCTGGGCACCCCATCAGAAATGTGAGTATCAGTTATTTCTTAACTCCCAAATTATGCTGATAATTTCAAACAGTCTCTGCTGGAAGCTTCAAAGGCCCTCATGTGATTAGCACATCCAGTTCAACACACCCCAGAGGAGTGTGGTCCCTTCTGAGATGGTGTGACCTTTCATGACCATATCAGTGTAAAATACACTGAGCAGAGCTCCAGTGAGAGCACTGGGAACTTGGGCACAGAATTATGGCATACTGGAACGTGTCAGGACTCTGTGTAAATCTCCTGTTTGCTACCAGGTATCTTGGAAAACAGCAAATTGTCAAGGCTCTTTCTCCTGCTGTAGCCAGAAGGTGCTCCCTTGAACAGCTTGGGATCCCTCATGCTGTGGGTGCCATTCCAGTACTGATGTACTGGAAAATGCCATCTGCTGAGCAGCAGAGCATGGACTCCATTCAGCCTCATCACTCAGCCATCAGGAGCAGTCACAGGGGAGGCAGGTGGAAAATAACAGTCCAAGTCTCCTCCAGAGCTACTGGCTGACCAGAAGGGCTGTCATTGCAGCAGCACTGGTAACTACCTACTTCAGAGGCAGTCCCAAGGTGGTATTAGTAAGAAAATGAGAGATGCAG